AGCCACGAGTAGATGATATTGTGGCGCTAGTTGGGAAAGCCCCACCTCTTTGTGGAGATCCGCACAAGCGTGGTAGCCAAAACAATCTGAATAATCAAGCTTTTTTGTGTGTTATTAAGCCAAATGCTATAAACTATTTATGAGTTTTTTTGTCAGATATTACCAATGATTTCAAATATGTTTCTGAAACGGTAATTTGTCTCTCCCCATTCAAAGAGATAGGAGTCTGGACTTGCACGACTTGAAATAAATGCCTGGCACTGTCGCACAGATGCCTGCCGAATGAACAGACTTTCCTACAGGGACTCAGCTTACACTCCTATACCGTTTATGCGTTTAGCTGCTGAGGCTGTTGGAATGACAGTAGGTCCCATTCAGATTTGTCCTCTATTGTCCCCTCAAATACTGAGTGTTTTAACCAATACACGAAAAATAAATGCCCAGCGAGATGGTAAAGGACCCTGCGTTTGCCATGTCGTGAACGTGTCATTTAATATGTTTTAATGTTAGCAATTCCTTCCGCCAAATTATAGTTCCTTAACAACAACGAACTCCGCTCACTCGCTGAACAGTCTGCTGTAAGCCTCGCCTTTTGAAGTACAGACTGAGCCATAAAACTGCCGCAATATCAAGTTTAGCTCAGTTTTGTCATTTTTTGCCAGATCAGTATTAATGTTGTTTTGTTCCAGCCAGTCTGTAAAGCATCTTACAGCCCATTTTGTTTGGCGAATGGTATTGGGTTCATTTCTGGCTGATTCCAGGTTGTTTAGGTTCTTCTGTCACAGCTGCCGACTGAAAAGCTGCTCAGTGGTGATGACAGTTTGGGAATTTAGTGTCGTCTCATCTTCAGAGTCTGACCAAATCGGCTGTCGGTCAAATGTGATCTTGAAAGTATCCATTTTCTGTTTGTGGCAAAGTAAGAAGTAAAAAAGTTCATATGGTTTGAGCGTCTCCTACAGCTGTCAAAGTCATTGCTTAGCAGCGGCGTCTCAGCGGAGTGATTCAGTGTTTGTGAAAAACCCGTGATGTTATGATGAAATAACAGCACGGTTAGAACGCTTCTCAACCAATCAGCTTGCGTGGTCGGAACAAACTGTTCTATAATGTCAAAATATAATATTTTTTAAAGCAAAGTCACGTTGAACATCTGTATTAACTTCTGCACTCATGTGGGTCTAAATGTGCATTAAATACAATGGCACTATCTAGGCTTCCATCGACTTCAATCAACATTTTGCAAATGCGAAAAAGAAAGACTGTTAATTTTTTTTTATTATTTTTTTAAATTTGTTTCCATTGACTTACAGCAATAAATGGTTTATGTGATGACATCACTATTGACAATCCAAAAAAACAAACCCAAAAAACCCAGATACTGCCTAAGTTTTCCATATAATATTAAAACACAAGAGTAAGGTAAGAATGCACGGTGAGTGTGTACAGAAGGACCATGTGTTGATGAAGCGTCATTTGTGTTAGTGTACTTGCATTGAGTTTGTTCCTGACCTAAAGTACCTTTAATGGGTGCTTCTTCAGAGAACCACTTCTGTAAATGGCGTGAATGTGAAGAAAAGGTTTAAACAACCTACACATAAAGCTTCTAGGAAGAACCCTTTAAATGGGTTTAACCATTTACATTATGTGAAGGTTCTTTGAACCATTGTCTCCTCTTTAGTCCAGATTCCTTTTTTTCTGCTGTGGTTTGCTGTGGTTTACTTTGTTGGTTTGTTATAGGATCTTTCCTCTTTCCTTTTTGATTTCATATTTCAAATTTAAGTGTCATTATTATTAATTATTACTTGAGTGTAAGTATTGACAATTCATCTTCTGAAATCAGACTTTAATTTAGAGAATTTAGAGAATCTTACCAATAAGTGTTGTGTCCATTATTAATTATTTTCACATAAAACCTCTCATATGAACATCTATCTAGCGCATGAGTGAAGAGTTGGTGCCATCACAATGCACTCAGTGATCAGCTGTGTCAGTGCAGAGCTAAAGCAGTTGCCAATAGGGGGCAGAAGCTGAGGGCAGTAGTTGTGGTGTGTCTGCCTGTCTACACTTGCTGTGCAGAACATCAGGGAGCCTGTACAGCAGGCACAGACAGGCAGACAGACAGCAACCCGCCAGGAAGGACACACAGACAACTCCACTGGCCTCACACTTCTCTCTACAAAAATTTGCACTCAAAACCAGGAAAACAACATCCATGATGTTTCAACATCATTACATCTATGATGTAACAGCTTGCCCTCTGTCTTGTACGTGTATGTTAGAGATGTGCATGATTATTCGAGAAATCTTGATGAACTCATTTTAGTATTAATCTACTTAATCAGGTATTTGAATAAGTCTGTGTAGTTTGGAATAAAGGAAGTTCATAAATTCTGTATTGTCATGTCCTTTTTTTGACTGCGTGTAGGTTGTAGAACTACAGAGAACGTGGGGACTCAAGCAACTCATACTGTGTCTCACGTTAAGCTAAATGGCCACATTAAAGCTGAAATACTTAAAACAAAAAGGTCATGAATTTGCACAACTAGTAGTAAAACCTTCAATGTATGGACATAGTGTGAGAAGAAACTTTATGACTGGTACAGGCAGAAGTTCTGGATGGCTTCTGCTTTTTAAATCAAATCATGGAGATTTAAACAAAGTCATTCAGTGTTTTGATGAGAAAAGATGATGAGAAACTTGCTGGCTCAGATTTCTCTACAGTGGTGTTGATAAGAACCAGGGGTCACCATGCTTACAACACAAATATAGACATTTTATTTACTGACCAAAACCACAAGGAACCTACAGAGTTTTACATGTAATGTTGATAAAATAGTGGTAAATCTGGAAAAAAATAAAATAAATAAAATTTTGGAACTACTTTGACTCACAATGTCCTGCATGTACCTCTGTACTACTACTATAAAACAATGTCTCAGGCATTTGTGTACCTTTCTGTGAGATTACTTTTACAAGCATTAAATGTTTTGGATGTCTGGTTCCTATCACCACCACTGTAAATAATTTTGAAGTTTCACGTCAAAACATTCCTAGTTACATTAAGCACTATTGCTTAATTATGACAATATTTTAACTTAATTATGTAGAAATCTAAAAAAAAGGGGCATTCCCATTAAAATAAAACAATGGACCTCTCTTTTGATGAACAGAGGTAGGACTAAAGAAAAGGAAGTCCTCCTCCCAAACTTTTCTTAGATAAAGCCACAAAATCAGTTCAACCATCAGGTACACATCACCTCTTAGGCTAGCTGCACATAATAAATGGATGTTAAACCTTCTATGTTTTTGTTTTATGTCTATAACTTATAACCACATCTCTTATTGGTTTATCCAAGTGCAACTAAAATGCAGATATCTCGTCCTCTACTGTTTGTGTGTACACGGCCCAGCAGCTACAGATCTTTGTCACAACTACAGAGGTCATAGGTCCAAATTCAGGCTTTTGCCATTGTGCCCTTTAGCAAGAGTGCTTAATCATAAGTTGCTCTGAGAAGACTGTTCCTGCAGCAGGTTAATGTGCACAGCGTCAGGTAAAAGCACCAGTGGAATATTAATGTGCTGCAGCTCTGCTTCTGAAATTGGGAGCTCAAGCTCAAATATTCTACTGACCAAAACATACACTATGGGTCAGTTTTCCAAACTAAGCACACCTAGACTACATGGGATTTTACAGCATTGGCACTGCAGTTTAGTCCAAGACTAGACTTCATGCTTGTAACACAAAACCAGTCCTATACATCCAACAACTTGTAGACATCTGCTCATCCATTAATAGCAAGTTTGTCCCCTGTTGCTGCGGTAACAGCATCTACTGTTCTGGGAAGGCTTTACAGTAGATGTTGCAACATTACTGTGAGAATTTCTTTGCATTTAGCCATGAGAGCATCAGTGAGGTCAGGTACTGATGTTGGATGATCAGTCCAGGATCACAAACTCCATTCCAACTCATCCCAAAGGTACTGGACGCAAAGAAAGTAGTTACACTGCTTCACAGCCCAATGCTGGGGGGGCTTTATACCCCTATAGCTGATATGTAAATTAGCTGAATTCACTAATTAGAAGTGTCATCTGGATACCTTTAGACATACAGTGCAAGCTCAGCAGTGAAGTTTTGACAAGTTACTTCCTAATTATTCATCCTATTATCTATCAGCCACATCTGGAGTACATGGTCAATTATCATGGACAATCATTTTGAAATCGTTTTGATTCAAAACATACATATAATAGATGCCAGTGAGCAGCTGATGAAGCAACCAGCTACTGATTTCTATTATAAGTGTGTTCTGAGTCGGTGGGTTAATAGCTGTGGTTAAATTGAACATTTTAAGAAATCAAGTCCGCATGACTGCATAGCATTTGTGAAACTAACTGTTATGTAGTTACTCCCAGAATGACCCTATAGAGTCTAACTGCAGACATGCACTCATCTCCACTGAAGTCACGTGCACATGCACTCTCTGTCACAATGGCAGAAGCAGCCCAACAGCACGTTAACATTTGTCTGCTTCGGCTAAGGGAGTCAAGAGCAACCTTAAAACAGTATCATCGTTATAGTTTTCTTTTTCCATCTCAGTAACAGTATGCTCGCGGTGCATGTCAGGCTGAAAGTGCATGGCTGCAGCCAGAACCTTCTCCAATGACCACTCACATGGTCATTTAACAGTTCTTTTTTATACTAGAAACCAATGTGCACCTGCTGAAGCCACAAGGTTTTTTGATGAAGTCCAGAGAAACACGTCAAAATTACTGTCCATGGTTAACAATCGTATGCTACAGATGCAGCTTATAGGGCCAGTCCCCGGAACCTTATTAAGCCTTAGCCTAGACAAAAAGAATTTCTAGTGGTGAATTACGATCGGCATTGCGCTTTATTCCAATACTACGCTTAATCCGTGTCTGGAAACCGGCCCATAGACACAGTGTTCCTTCAAAACAGCGCAAGAGATGAACTGTATTTCTGAACAGAAGGCTGGACTCACCTCATCATCCTTGAACCAGGACAAGCTCTCGGCCGTCAGCACAAACCAGTACTCCTTGGCTCCACCTTTCATGATGCTGATGTTGTTGATGGTCAGCCAGCCTTTGCGGATAACCTGACAAAATGGGAAAAGAATAAAGGTCAGATAAGATTGTGGTCGACTCAAAGACACAAATCGGGACGTCTGCCCTTCATGTCAAGCAGTTTCTAAGCTCCCCTTGAAAAACAAGCCGTTTGTGTGTCTATTGGAGTGCTGTGCTAGTTGTGGTTAAATAAAGTCTTTTGAACATTGTAAGAAATCAAGGCTGCAGGACGCACAGTGTTTGTGAAACTGAGTGACTTTGAAACTGTGGTTACTCTCAAAATGATCATTCACGTTAGTACAGAAATACCTGAGTGATGCATTCTGGTCAATATACAAGCCACACACATGTAAAAATGGGTCATTGTACAGAAACGTCCACTTTTTTTATCTGTCCATAGGTGTCACTGGTGTTACTGATCCTCATCGGTGTTACACATGAGAAAGGTAACACCAGAGACATTTTTAATGAAAAATGCATTTTACAAAATAACTGCTACAGAGCATCAAACCACATGTTGTAAATCATGGAATATCCACTAAAATAAGTTATTTAATCCATTTGTGTTCTATTTTTTCACAATTATCTAAGACTAAAGTAGGTCACACCAGCGACTTCAACTAAAAGCTTCATATGAAATCATGAGATAAATGAGAACATTTCTGACAACTGAAAGACACAGTGGACTTACCACATGCTTTTTTTCATAGCTCCTCAGAAATAAGTAAAAGGAAGTCAAGTAATGTCATCAGTGTGATTTTTAATTCAAAATAAGAGATTTTTTGTTACGCAGTAACACCAGTGGCACGACTCCTGGGGAACTTTCATTATATATTTTATAATACTTATTTGGCATTTGTTTTATTTGACTTTATGCCACTTAAATCATATATGTCATAGTCATGCATAGATTACTGCAGTTGAAAAACGTTTTTTGCCTCAAACTATGGCCTCACCCTTTACACATGACTGCGAGGACGAGCTCTTCTGTGGCGCTTGGAATTCTATATGATTGATTTAAAAACCAATATTGCTAAATTGACGGCTCAAGAAGGTGTAATTGTTAAAATAACTTATTGTTTTATTTTAAAATACAGATAAATTGTAACTCTGACATGTTTTTCAAGTGTATATATCTGTAAACGCTAGGGACACAAAAATGGATGTTTATGTAGAATGACCCAAATACACCATACAACAGTGCAGTGCTCTGTGGTTTCTATACAAACTAACTGTACACTTACAATCCAAAACCAATTAACAAGTGTGCCTGTTTGTGTTTGTTACTGACAGGTGCTTCGGTCATGCCTATTCCTCTGACCATCCAAACTGTCCACAGTAATACAGGCTACATGCAGTGTAAGTTTAAACCAAACTAAATCCTGTAAATAATACATATTCATTCCTATTGGTGCTTATTTGTGAGGTCCTATTGGTGAGTTTCCAGACTGAATTTCTTACAATGATGCCAGAGGCTGGTGGAGATGTGGCCTGAAATAGTAAGCATGTGAAAGACAGAGAGTGAGACAGGTACATAGATAGTAGGGGCGTAAAGATTTGAATGCAACTCTTTAGGAAACTATTCTAAGTATCATGAAATCTTAAAAGGCCTGTATCATGGAAGAATCAATTTCCTTCACTTTATTGACATGAAAAAGTGTGATTACCTATGCAAACATGTTTAAAGTTTCAATAAGTACCATACAGTCCATATATGGGAACGGAGCTGCAAAAACAGCCCATTTTTAACTGTTATGTCACAAACCCAGCACATTTACTTACATTCATCTATTCATCCTACAGCAGTTCAGCCCATTTACATTTAGGTTATATAATGTGTTTCAGCTGGGACTGCATGCAGGACAGCCAATCAGAGGTCATTTACATATACCAGTCTTATATGTACAATAACAAAACCAGCCTGTTTAATCCTAAAGGATTAAAAAAGAGGTGGAAATGGTCCTGTTTTTGGTGCATAATCCTACACAAACATCATACATGAATCTAAAATAGAAGAAAAATGTAGGACATGGGCCCTTTAACTTTCATCTCGGTTCAATTTGATTCAATTGGTATCAAGTTATTTGTAAAATATACATTAAATCCACATGATTGCTGGAGCTATTTACACGGTAGTGAAATATAAAAAAATAAAAACAATACACCAAGATTTTGGGGCATTTTTAGGTTTGAAAATAGCTACAAAAAACCAAGAATTCGACCAAAAATTGGGCTCATACTTCCACTTGAATATTTACTGATTCTAATCTACTGTACTAATCCAAAATCAATGCAGTTGCATTGCCACCCTCAGGCCGATACAGTTTTACACCCCAGCTAGACAGACAGATGGACACGGATAAACAGGTGTACAAATAAACATGAAAAAACAAATAAAGCAACTGGAAATGTGGAAATGGAGAGCAACACCTGGCACATAGCAGCTCGCTCCATTAAAACCCAGCACTCCAGAAAGGATCAACATATCCGAACGCAACATCAACACGAGTCACCCGGATGTAGCTCAATAAAACAGCAGCTGGTTATGAGCCTAAGATAATTATACCTGAAATTCACCCAGAAGGCAAACAGAGTAGAGCTTAAATCAGACAGACTAAGCTGAAATAATACAACCTTTTATTATAATAAATCCCAAAGTGGGAGCCTTCAGTGCTACTGTAAATACAGCACAAACCACACCAGACTGCATAGCATTCTTAAGCCACGGTCACACTGCACTGTCGCCTCACTATTTTCTTTGCTCTTGTGCAGCAAAAATCAGGTGAGTGTTGTAAGTCCTGAAGTGATATGGCTTTAGAGGTAACATGTAGTCAGACAGGGCTGCATGATAAATAGTTTTTACCGTTATCGAGTTATGAGATTCTGCAATAATCACATCAGTAAGAGCTACAATGATAAAATGGATCATATTACCTCACATGCAGTGCCTAAGTGACATAAATAGATTCAGGGGAACACAGCATTAGAAGCCCAACAAGCGCTGGCATGTGCTGAGCTTGAACCCTGATCTCCTGCACGGAGAGCCAGTTACAAACCACACAGCTCCAACACTACTCTATCCTGAACTACTAGCCGGTAAAAATGCTTAAAGCGTGAAGACTATTTTCAGTCTCAGTGTGTAAAATGTATGGACTGAAAAGTTACAACATATATAACATTATGACCACCTCCTTGTTTCTACACTCATTGTCCATTTTATCAGCTCCACTTACTATATAGGTGCACTTTGTAGTTCTACAATTACAGACTGTAGTCCATCTGTTTCTCTGCATACTTTGTTAGCCCCCTTTTACCCTGTTCTTCAGTGGTCAGGACCCCATGGACCCTCACAGAGCAGGTACTATTTGGGTGGTGGATCATTCTCAGCACTGCAGTAACACTGATGTGGTGGTTGTGTGTTAGTGTGTGTTGTGCTGGTAGGAGTGGATCAGACACAGCAGTGCTGCTGGAGTTTTTAAATCCCTCAGTGTCACTGCTGGACTGAGAATAGTCCACCAACCAAAAATATCCAGCCAACAGCGTCCTGTGGGCAGCGTCCTGTGACCACTGATGAAGGACTAGAGGATGACGAGCACAAACTGTGCAGCAGCAGATGAGCTATCGTCTCTGACTTTACATCTACAAGGTGGACTGACAAGGTAGGAGTGTCTAATAGAGTGGACAGTGAGTGGACACAGTGTTTAAAAACTCCAGCAGCACCGCTGTGTCTGATCCACTCGTAACAGCACAACACACACTAACACACCACCACCACGTCAGTGTTACTGCAGTGCTGAGAATGATCCACCACCCAAACAGTACCTGCTCTGTGAGGGTCCATGGGGGTCCTGACCACTGAAGAATAGGGTAAAAGTGGGCTAACAAAGTATATAAGAAACAGATACAATTGTAGAACTACAAAGTGCACCTATATAGTAAGTGGAGCTGATAAAATGGACAAATAGTATAGAAACAAGGAGGTGGTCATAATGTTATGCCTGATCAGTATATATATATATATATATATATATATATATATATATATATATATACACACATACATGTTTACATATTTATTTGTGTTTGTCGCCTAAACAGAAAAAGCTGTTCAGGGAAATCTGACTGTTTTCAGACTGAAGCGCCTCATGGAACGTTTTCAACTACAAATTCTGCACCAGGGGGCACCATTAGCAGCCAAAACTGTTTGATGCTTCATAAGAACAGTCTTTCACATCTGTGTGTCCTTGCTTAGCCTTACAGTGCATAAAAATGTACCTGATGTTCCGATGCAAGAGGATACTAGTATTTCATTATTTTAATTTTGCACAGTAGTGAATGCTGCATTTGTAATGTACCATTTTTTGCTATTTGCTTAAAGATGAATTCAGTTCAATTTCTGTTTACATATTTTCAGCACATCCAATCAGATGCACAAATAGTTTCTCATATCGTCATTGTAATCTCCAACAACTTCATCAATTAGTATATAATATATACTAACAAAACCTGTTTTAAAATGACAAGATACAGCACAATTTATTTTTATTAAACTTCATTTGCCTTTTTCAGATACTCACAGTCACCTATGTGAATACTTCATACTTCATACATTTAAGTATCTACATCCATCTCTAAGACATAATGGACCAGACAGTAGTCATGCGATGTTAATGCTTATTCTCTTTCGAGAAGGACATTTTTAATCCAGGCTGAGTAATCTGAGCTGAAAAGTCAGAGCCCTTCCTTACCTGGATGTCCTGTCAGAGCAGGAAACAAGGTGGTTCTCCTTAAACGGGAGCATGCATGGGGACAGCTCGCTCACAGAGAGGGGGTGGGGGTGGAAAAGAAGATGCTGGCCATGATAACATAAAAAAATCTCATGAAAACATAACTGAAAACAAACAAAATCGCACTGGAACCAGAAGCAGAATTACAAGAATGACAAAAACTAAACAGTTAAAATATTTAAAAAGCATAATAACTATAATGTGCAGATTCTGGAGTGACAAAAAAGTGTTAAAAAAACAAGCCACAGTGAAAGACTTTTCTCAAAGGCTTTCATGTGCATAGAAAGCGAGGAAAAGCACAGATCTTTGATAATGTGGATAACTCACATATACACACACTGCACTAACCTGGTTTCCTGCAGAACTCGTCTTGTTTGTCTGGCTGCTCCGCTGCTGCGCACTTTAATTATCAGAAATCAAAGAAAGATGAAGTGTGATTGAAGGGGAAACACAAAAAAAGACATATTAATACGAAGTTTAGAGCAACAACTGGCACTGTATCCATCACGAGTACCAAATTTCACATAGTCATAGACCTCCATTAGAGAGGAATACCTACTTAGCGAAGCCAATGAAATCCTCATGGTTGGTGTTGATGTATGAAAGCTGGATATCAATCAGCAACAGAATCTGTTGAAAAATCCAAAAAATGATTACTTTTTCAAAAATACACAGGGTTCTAATCACTGTGTGTGTCTGTTTATCTACACCGATCAGGCATAACACTGTTGTGTCCGATCCATTCAGACCATTCAACACACACTAACACACCACCACCGTGTCAGTGTTACTGCAGTGCTGAGAATGATCCACCACCCAAATAGTACCTGCTCTGTGAGGGTCCATGGGGGTCCTGATCACTGAAGAACAGGGTAAAAGGGGGCTAACAAAGCATGCAGAGAAACAGATGAACTACAGTCTGTAATTGTAGAACTACAAAGAGCTGATAAAATGGACAATGAGCGTAGAAACAAGGAGGTGGTCATAATGTTATGCCTGATCGGTGTGTATGTGCACGTGGTAATACATGAAATTCAAAATTCAATGCAAAAGAGTGGCGTCTCAACAGGACACATTTTTTTTCCCCACACAGCACAAATATGAGCCTTGTGTTCATATATTAATGTTAATATGTTAGTGTTTGCACCAAACACACAGCTTACAGTCATGTGCACTAAGGGTACAACGACACACATATTTTCTATGGTTAAGATTCAATTTGATTTTCATTATTTTGTGTGTTAAGCGTCAGAGCTCATATTCTATACTACACATATTGGTTTGGCTCAGTTAAATAAAAGCCATAAAACAGATACCATCTGACAAAATAAACCCCAAAAATCAAAAATCACTATATACATACCTGATAATATAACATTTTTAGGCATAGTTTGTAACAAAAATAAAATCTGATACTTAAGATTTTCAAGGTTTTAATGTTTAGGTGATGCCGGATGACTGCACTAAAATGTCTGCACTGTACTGATTTTGCTACATTTGAAACTCTCTGTGAATAAATATGGCATCTTTCTTTAATGCTAATCCAGGTAGACTATTTTATGAATGTTTATATGTCAACATTAGCATCACCAGAAATGTACATTAAAAAGAGGTCGACATCAGTCCACAATTCCCACATCGGTGCATCCCTAGTATTAGTATTTGTCTCAGAAACAAATTTCACGCATGTCAGCATAAGCCTTCAGAAAAAAATCTTTAATCTTTAAAATCTTTAAAAAATCTTTAAAAAATCTCTTGAGAAACACATTCAATCACAAGTTTTGCCTGGTAGTGTGTATAAATCATTCCACTGAATTGGTATAAAGTCAGAGCTGAAAACACATTGTAAAGCAAAGGCTAAAATTCTTTTGCTTTAAGTGGCCTTATACATGAATTATATTTACTTTATTGAAACATTTTGTATCTACCCAAACAGTCATAACACCACTTAAAATTTACCAAATGTTTCAGTAGTGACTGTTGTGGTAGTGACAATTTTAGCTAATTTTGAGCGGAACTCAAAAGACTCACCAGTACATGACTAGCAAACTCAGCTTTGAACAGTTGTACACACATAAAATCCCAAAAACACAAAAAAGTGTACCTAACTGCAGAAAATATGTGTTACAGTAGTGACAATTCTTACACACTGTTACACACTGATTTTCAGACTTTGGGACACATTTACCTCAAAACAGTGGGATCTAACCGCTCAACATGTGGCCATGAGGGACAGGGATACAGTCTCACTTCCTGCTGTTAAATGCAGGGGCGTGGCTATAATAAGGCTCCGACTTATGGACTAAAACTCTGTGTTTCGGCAGTGATGTGAAAATGTGGGATAGCATTTTTTAACGTTTTTACGTAAAAATTCAGAGAAACAATGTGTTTTTTCTCTGGTTGCCACTGAGGCGATTCTGGACGTTACCTGTTCTTTAGCGCGGCTCTCGCGCTCCCGAATGTGTGTAGTGACGATTCGCTCAGTCTCCTCCCTCAGCACGGGGAACGTAGCCAGCTGTGCAGACAGAGAACACACGAACACACATGAGCAGGACATCACAGTATAGGACTTTCAAAGATTACTCCACTGACTCAGCACCCCTACCCTTTTCATCACTGGTCAGTTTCTGACCACAGGACCGCCGCTGACCAGATATCATTTGGGTGGTGGATTATTCTCAGCACAGCTGAGACTAAAGGATGAATAACAGACTGTACATCAACAAACGGGCTGCAGTCTCTAACTGTACTAGCAAGGCAGCCAGAAAGTACATTATGCATCACTCAAGTCATTAAAATGTATTTATTCAGACATCAAATGTCTCATAATACATGGTTTGCATGCATAAGCACAGATTTTTGGATCTTACTTATCCAAATGTAGACGTATGTTATAGTATTTGTTTGAGTAAATGTGCTGAAGTACTTACTTTCATATTGCGTGGTCACTAGAGCCATCTGACCCATAAATCAAAAATATGGATTTTATTCACAATAACACAACCCAGAATTCTACTGCTTTTATCCAGCAAAAAAAAGTAAAGCAAAGAAGCAAATGTGCTTAAATACTGGCAAGTTTTACAGCCTCCACAGAAAAGAACATCAATTTAACACCAGATTCATTAAAAAAAATCATTCAAATCTTCATCGGTCATCATGGAAGTGAAATCTTTTGCTAGCTGCTTTTACAGCTACTAAACTTTGTTAGGAAGTGCTGAAGGTTTGTCCCCGTACTGTTATTTTGTATTCACAACATTTTCTCGATGTTAAGCAAAAAAACGTAGTACCTTTTTGTGTTACGGACAGAGCTATAAAACTGTCAGAATGTCTGCTCTGCTATTGCGATATTTGCCTGGTGAGCCTGACTGTGGTTTTGTTTCGGTCGGTCTGTAAAGTGTTTCACAGCTTATCATTTGCAGATTTGTATTCTGTTCTTATTTGACTAATATCAGTTTTATTTATTTATTTATTTATTTATTTTATTTATTTTCTGTTTTTGTGTGTGCTAAAATAGAAACATAGATAGCTGCAGAACAAAGTAAGTAGAGACTTGGCAGCGAGTGCTCAGTCGAATGATGGCTACAACACTCCTCAACCAATCAGACTGTGTCGCTGGAACTCACTGGCTGCGTTTACATGCGAAGACTTTTGCCAATCCGATTGAATACGTTCCGATTACAGATTTGGACTGAGGTGTTTATGCTCAAAAATCTGATGGAAAATCTCTGTTTACATGCTCACTGCAAGTAATCCGATCCAAAATGACGCACATGAATAGAGAATTACTTAGTGTAAACATTACCATGACAACCAGCATTGTGTGAGTCCAGTCAGAGTGAGATGAGTTTTCAGCTGGCGCTTTTGTGATTTTTATTGCTTTAAAACTATGGCAGATAAAATGTACCTCACATGTACTTATTAAAGAAGGCCGAGAGGAAGACGTCGTATTCTGAGACACATAAACTGGACGCTCATCCCACCTCCGTCTTTTAAAGATCAGAGCATAAACTTCGTCTCCTGTGCAGACCAGTTTCTGCTCCGCCATGTCACGTTATAAACTTTCGCTATGACGTGACGCACATGATCAGAACATACTTAAACTTTCAGATTGGAAATGTAATCAGATACAGACGTTTACATGACTATTATTCTATTTAACAGATTATTTACAGGATTACCCACCTCGTTTAGTCGGATAAAAATGGTATTCCGAATGGCCTCAATCGGACTAGTCTATTCCGACTGAGGTGTATACATGAACGTATTCTATTCCGATTGAGCTATAAGTTGGAATATTAACAAATTACTAGGCTGCATGAAAACGTGGCTGTTATCAGTGATTAGTGATCCTAATCTGCATCACACTAGTACCTCATATACAGTTACCACCATTATATACATTATGGTTCTATTAGTACCAAAGCAAGGGCCAATAAATATAAGTACACAGATTATTATTACAGCTCTGCTATTCACTGGTGCTGTCATTACGTCACTCGGGACGCCACAGTGATGTGCGGTCAGCTGTTATTAGATAAGCAGTGAGCTGCTGCAAATTAGTGCTTCACTAATTACTCAGAATGTAATTATGAGTAACAGTCGCTGAAAGGCTGTAATGGTCATGACTATTTTTACCATGCAATGACTGTTAATGTCATTAACAATGAATGAACAGTGACAGTAAACTGAATTCTCAGTTAAGTGTTGGGGAGTACGTGAACTGTAATTTAAAGGCAGCTGCAGGGGCCACATTTACAGAAGCCTTATTAGTCTTCTCCCAAATAATAAAGCTGAAAGAATGAGAGGAAGCTCACGCTATATGCAAGACTCTAGACTCTAAAAGACTCTAAAAGACCATAAATCTGTCACAGATACGCATATAAACTGATTCTAATATGATAATCATATGGACGTATGTAAGAAATGTATACGTATCTAGAAGGATGAAGTAATTGACTGAGACGGCTGCACAGTGTCAAAGTAAAGATGCACTCCAGCCGCAAATGCTTGGACGGCACATTGTTCAGATTTTCACAGATGCAGCCTATGTACAGTGCATCACCACATGACTAGTAATACTTTATTATTCGTGAATCATAAAGTGTCCTACAGTCGTAAAACCTAGAGAAATGGCCACCACATACAGAGATGAAGACAGTGACTGTAGAGATTTCCTCTCCTGATTCTCCCAGAACGTATTTCAGCATCAACAAGCCTATCGCTGCTGTCAGCGATATCATTGTGGAGATATGAGGTTTTCTTCCAACAACACCGCTATGCTGTACGCGTTTGAGCCTATTAGGGCTGAACAACTTGGAGAAAATACCTAACTGTGATTTTTCTTACTAGTTGCGATTTCGACATAAAAAAATATCTTTCAGCCTTAGATCCTATGGAGCTCCAAGGTTAGAGGAAAGTGCAACCGGAATTCCACTGATGTAACAGAAAGTAAAATATAAAAGTTCTGCTTTTTTTATGTCAGTGTCAAATTAGTCACTACCGTAATGATATTTTCTATTAGCAGCCTTATGGGGATATATAGTGTTACAGGGTACACACTGTACCCTGAAACGATGGTTCTTCAAGGGTTCTTTAGTAAAGAAAAGATACTTTGCATGATTAACAGGTTCTTTGAATCATGAAAGAGTTTTTCAGATTGATGGAGCATGTGCTGTAGACGGGTCTACATAGAACCTTTTTGAAAAGGGTTTTATAGAGCTCCAAAAAGGGTTCTTTTATTGTAACAAGCCCTGACATCATAATAATAATACCCTTTAATCATGCATATTTTTTCATGAATCATGAATTATGAAGTCCTCCAAACCAAAATGTTACCAAATGATTAATTATCAAAATGACAAATAACTCCAATGTTTTTGACCGGTTGTTCATTAGAGCCCAGCAGCAATTAAACAGATAAACACTGTCGATGGTAGCAGTAATAGAGGTAAAGAAGACCGTACCTTATTAGCACACTGCTGGACTGTGTTAATGAGCTCCTGAATGACCAGGTCAATGCATTTAATGCAAGGTTCCTTCAGCTTCACTACCTGCTTCTTCACTATGGCTTCGAAGGCCATGTCCGGAGTGAACAGGCCTGTCCTGGAGACGTGAACAAAGACACACAACAGACAACGTCAAGGACTGCATTTCAAACAATCACACAGCTGAGAGAGCCATTCTGAACTTCAATTTGCTGTCAATAACCGGTTTCCAAATGCTTTGCCAAAAGCTTATGGAGCGAGTTTGTATACTGTGTCCCTTAATCCAATCCAAGTCAACTCAATCCACTGATGGCTGCGGTTTGCAGGTATTAAGTGATTTGTATCACCACACCACCTGATTTCATTAAGGAGATCTTCTTAATTAAGGAACTTTCGTAGTAACATTTTTGGAACAAGCATGCAAAGGCATTGGCTTAAAGATCCATGAGCTACATCCAATGTTCTACTGTGACTAAAACTATTATATGCTTAAAGTCATCCATTCAGGATAATCCATTTCACCAGCACCCTCATTATTCAGACAGTACATGTCCAGGTTTTGACTCATAATTTGTTTTTCCTTCAATTTATTCGAAATTTTTGAATATGAGTTCATATCGCTGTTGTCGGAAGAAACCTTGTATCTCCAAAATGTTAACTTTACAGGAGAAGCAAAAAACCTACTTTACTTTTAATGTAAGTCAATGGAGCCAGACTTTTTCCCCAAGTAATTTTGGGCCATTTCTTTTGGTCCATGCTTCATGAAATTTACATACAATGTAAAGGGTAACATGTACTTTCAAATTATGTCAAAAACTGAAAAACGTCAAAAATGGAGATATAAGGTTTTCTTCAGACAGCAGCTAAATATTTCATAGATCTGTTTCTCATTTGTTACTCTGATAAGCCTCCAAAAGTAATCACTGGTTAATCTAAATACTTCTATCCAGTGACTTAACTTCTCTTCGCTTCGTTTCTTTTATTTTTTTCTGTATTCATTTTTGAATATTAACTGCCAAATCTTTATTCTTTATTCATATTGCTCTTGCTGTGTTATTGTTTTGCAAACCGGTGTCAATCATAGGAGGATGGGTTCCCCTTCTGAGTCTTGGTTTCTCTCAAGCTTTCCTCCTTTTGCTCTTTGGGAGTTTTTCCTTGCCACTGTCATACATGTTGAAGCTCATTTGGGGTTTGAACTCAGATTTTCTGTAAAGCTGCTTTGTGACAAGCAATATATAAGTAAAGCTTGACTTGATCAAAAAAACCTGAATCTCTCTTTTATCTTAGATTGATTAAAATATTGCCTCATTCTCTAACGCAGCTTCCCGAGGAGCCACTCCAGATCCTTTCCCAACAGCACTAATAAAAATGTATATGTGCTGAGACCTTATTTGGGGAGGAGCATTTGCAAAAAACGTTTTTTTAAATGTAAAATGTTTGTTCTGGAAATAAAAGTAAACATTTCACACTGTTCATATTTGTCTTTAAAACATATCTGAAGCATTTCAGTGCAAGCCTTTAGATCAAAAAGTATTTAATATTATGAAAAACACCCCTTTAGTCAAGTGGGTCCAAACTTTTGACCGGAAAGCGTCGATAGTGGAGTATGAAGGAGCGGTCACCTGATGCCGTGGATGTTTTTGATGGCATAGCTGATCTCCCGACGCATTTCTTTGTCATCGCACTCCATCTGTTTATCAGAGATGAAAAGGGAAATCCAGTCATTATAGGCATCTCTTTTTACATCTGGCGCTTAGTTTAAACACAAATGCACTTGCAGTTTCTGGATAAAGCTCTTAAAATGAGACTTGCCCTTGAATTGCCTTTCTGTTGGATGCTAAACCACCACTCATTATGGATGCAAACTCTTGTGTTGCATTAGTGAAGAACATTTTTGCATTTCCAGAGGAAAATTCAAAGGCAGATCTTGAGATCTCCAGCCTGACCAGACACATTTACACCTTTTTAATTCAATTAAATTGTATTTGCATAGCGCTAGCACATTTGTGAGTCATATTTATCTTACATTTTACTTCTCAAAGCAAGCATTCTGAACTTGGGACAGTCTCTCTCACAGTGACATCTACATGTGTGATATGGACAAAAACATAAGATTAATATGGGATACTTGGAAAAAAAAAACAACAACAGTCTCAGATAACACAGATTTTTACCCCACAATTTAACTGTGCCCAGTTCTATCTAGGGGTGAGCATCACAACAATATTTTACTGTTTTCTGATCAATTACATCACAATATGACACAATATGTTTTTCCGAGTATATCGTGGATACCATCTGTCCTTCAAGAGCACTGATCAACTGCATGTTTTATTACAAAGAGCACATAACTGGTCTTGTTTAATCTGATTTAGAGCAAAGAAGTATGTAAAATTCACTGATAGTGTTTTTAATGTGGCACTAGTGGAGCATTTGGTCTGTTCAATTTATCAAACCTCAGAAAAACTAATCATCATAGTCCACACTACATATCATGAAAATATCTTCAAGTATCATGATGTTAAAATTTTGCTTATTTGCCCACCCCTAATTCCAAACCCTATCATATGATGCCACTAAGCTGGGAGGGTGAAGGCATGAGCTTCTTAATGCAACCTCATTGGGGCTCAACATGCTAACTGCAAATTCTACTGCTAACTCACGCTGAGTAATGTGAGAGAGCAGACCATCCTATCAACCCAGAGAGAGAGAGAGAGAGAGAGAGAGAGAGAGAGAGAGAGAGAGAGAGAACAATTATACTCCCAGAGTCTCAGCCACCGTTGGCTGTGGGATTGCTTAGGATCAAACTGGCATTTGGAGGCTCAGAGGAGACAAAATTGAGAAGAAACTAAGAAGAAACAATACTAAACACACACACACACACACACACGCACACACACACACACTTGCCTTGACTAGCTCAAAAGGGAAGCGTTCGTGGAAGATGCGGTTGATCTTGGCTCCTCCTGACAGCTCAACAGTGTCCACCTGATCACCTGACCCCTCAATCCGCTTCTCAAAGTCCACTGAGAACTGCTGCACCATCCTGCAGACAAGTCATGTAAGTCATTCAAAGTCATGTAAATTTACATACACTTGTAAGTTTTCAGTATAATTACTATAATTTAGTAGGGCCATCAAAGGTAGTGCTACAATAACACATTAACAAGCTAAATTATTAACGCTACTAATTTTTTTAATGCTGTTAACCAATTTTCCTTGGTTGATCCTTTGAACCATCTGTCGTAATCCAGACTGAAGCTCAGCTGCTTGCAAGCTGTATGTTTCTAGGACACAACCGTTGGCCTCTCAATCAAATACAACCTTTAAATAGCTTTTAAAGTGACTTGACTTGACATCAGCACCTTCTGCAGATTATGTTGGACAGATCTCGCAGGAGAACTACAGATAAATCAATGAGGAGCAAACTAACAAAAGCAACAGCAAAGTGGAGCTCCAGTCCCCCCCAAGAGCCTCCACTGTAACAAGAATCCACAAGCTGAACAAGAGTAAGATCCACAGGTTGCAATCACAGAGGAGTGGAACCACTTACTGTATATGATACATATGATATTTTCACTCACTGACCGTATATATGATAAATATATTTTCAGTCACTGACTGTATATATTCACTTACTGACTATATATACGGTATATATGACATACACTGATCAGGCATAACACTATGATCACCTCCTTGTTTCTACGCTCATTGTCCATTTTATCTGTTTCTCTGCATACTTTGTTAGCCCCCTTTTACCCTGTTCTTCAGTGGTCAGGACCGACATGGACCCTCACAGAGCAGGTAGTATTTGGGTGGAGGATCATTCTCAGCACTGCAGTAACACTGACGTGGTGGTGGTGTGTTAGTGTGTGTTGCGCTGGTACGAGTGGATCAGACACAGCAGTGCTGCTGGAGTTTTGAAACACCTCAGTGTCCAGCCAACAGCGTCCAGTGGGCAGCGTCCACACAAACTGTGCAGCAGCAGATGAGCTATCGCCTCTGACTTTACATCTACAAGGTGGACTGACAAGGTGGGAGTGTCTAATAGAGTGGACAGTGAGTGGATACAGTGTTTAAAAACTCCAGCAGCACTGCTGTGTCTGATCCACTCGTACCAGCGCAACACACACTAACACACCACCACCACGTCAGTGTTACTGCAGTGCTGAGAATGATCCTCCACCCAAATACTACCTGCTCTGTGAGGGTCCATGTCGGTCCTGACCACTGAAGAACAGGGTAAAAGGGGGCTAACAAAGTATGCAGAGAAACAGATGGACTACAGTCTGTAATTGTAGAACTACAAAGTGCAGCCATATAGTAAGTGGAGCTGATAAAATGGACAATGAGTGTTGAAACAAGGACATAATGTTATGGCTGATCAGTGTATATATTTACTCACTGACTGTATATATCATATGTTCACTCCTTCACTGTATATATGAAATTTATGATATATTCCCTTATTGACTGTTGTTCAGATGATTTTCAATTTCAGGTTCATGTAAACCCTGCGTTCATACATGAAAATAATGTCCGGTCAAAATAATAATACTGAACTACGGAAAGTAATAAATACATTCTGATAAATGTTATTTTGTCCATACAGCTATAACAAAATGCACTGCTCTTTTACTAACAAATTCAAATTTGTTAAAATAAGACAAAAGTGATTAACTGCATATGAAAATACAGTAATGTGCTGAATCATGACTAATTATTTTAAATGTCCGAGGATCCTAGTATTTAATTTAATGCTATAATATTCCTGGTGAAATCTAGTGTTCATTAATTTACAGAACTGAGAAAGCTAAGTAACCCCTACTACCTTTGATTTATCACTACACTTCAAAGAACTGACTTTAATTAAATCCAAGCTAAAGACATTCACTCTAGTAGCTGTGTTTAGTGTAAAGTGTCAGTAGGTGAGTGTGTTTGTGTTGTGTGAGGAACTGACTGCAGGAGGGCCTTGGTCTTGCGTGACGGGTCGTCAGGGCGGAAGTGTCGATATTCCTCAGCTTCCTTGTCCAGGGCGAGGAGCTGAGACTGTAGCTTGCTGCGGAACGCGGGGAGCGTGTCCCGGATGTGGTTAGTCAGTTGCTGTGGAGACGGAGCAGCAGAGGAGTGGTCAGTATTGTGATCTGGTCGTAACAGAACAGAACAGAATAATGGTCTGCATGGAGCATGGTCGGTTGGATATATGTTAAGACTGGACTCTGCAAAGTGGCAGAGCCTCAATGAACAAGGCAGACACCATGTTAGGTGAGCATTCCCAAAGTGTTTCAGAGCAGAGGAGCTCATCTAGGCTCGGGTTCCTTCCTGGTTACAGTGAAAGTAGATATGAAAACAGATCCTACTCGGGAAAAATGTTGCTACTTACTGAAGCTCTAATTTCAACATGTGATATAGTGAGTCTCTATTTATCACTGTGAACAGCTTTTGGTATATAGTCTGAGTTTCCATTGGTGTCAATAATGCTATAAATTAGCTTAAATGTTTAAAACGTATTTTGCAGTATCCTCACACTTGATTGATACACAGTACTGCAGCACTCCCCAATTAATTAAGACCACCTTTCATGTATTTAATTTACAGGCAAAACACATTAAGTACAAGTTATTCTTTTTTAGCACCAGGAAAAAAGCAGAAAACATATATTTAACATAAAATGACACAAAAGTCTCAACAACTAAATACAATGTCATTTTTTCAGTGTTCACTTTTTATCTTTATTACAGCTTCCATTCTTTTCAGGAGACTCACTTTCAGTTTTTCTAAGAAATCTGCAGACACACCTCCAAAGTTCAGTCTTAGAAGTTGTTGTATTTTCTGCAAATAATCCCAAACACATTCAGTGGTGTTGAGGTCTGGACTCTGGGGTGGTCAGTCCATTGTTCAGCTTCTTTATTTGATGTGTCTGTCAGTGAGGTTCTTCTTGAACAGCTACACATCCTTTCAGACCCACAGCGCTGAGTCGTCCTCTCACAGTGGAAGGATGGACAGAAACACCTGTGGATGTTTTCAGATCTGAAGCAGCTTGATTTTCTCCTCTCTCTCAAAGATGAAAGCTTGAAGTGCTGTTTATCTGATGGGACAGTTTTGGTTGTCTATCAGGTCTTGCGGGTGGTTGTTAGGAGTCCCATTTTCCACCTTTTATTATTATTTTGAACTCCATTTTGGAACTCTTGGTCTTTCACTTATTTCCGCTCTCAGATATGCAAATGGATTATCTTAAATCTTATAACTAAATTAATGACTTGACTGGAAATTAAAAATGAAAGGCTTTTACACTTTTACACTACCTTAATATGGAGCTGAATGCATACAGCACCAGTTCAATTTGCGATTTCTGTTACTTCTCGTTCCTGCCTGTGATCCTTCATCAAAGATTCACGTACTGAAGCACTTTGGGCTGTTACCTGGTTGAGGGCCTTCTGCAGGTGAGGTGTGCCCATGCTGTCTGCTAGGTGCCTGTAGGCAGGATGGGACAAGAAGAACTTCCTCTCTGCAGCCAAAGCAGCTTTAATATCCTTCTTTCCTTCAATGTCCTTCTGACTGCGGTTCACCACCCCAATATAGCCTGAGAGAGAGAGAGAGAGAGAGAGAGAGAGAGAGAGAGAGAGAGAGAGAGAAAAAGAGAGAGAGAGAGAGAAAAAGAGAGAGAGAGAGAGAGAGAGAAATGCTAAAAGTCAGCCAAAACAGACAGTAAGAAGCAGAACTGCTTATAGCCCAAGATTTAAGCTCCAACTCAAAGGAAGCCAAAAATAAAAGCAATAAAACATGATATAGAAAAAAAAAATAATAAGGGAAAAAAGGTATGTAAAGATAAATAATACTCCATGTCTCACCCCTTCGCAGTGGAAGCAACTTGTTCTCCAGAACGTCTCTGGCATCAGTGCCCTCGTCCATCAGGTCCAGTTTAGTGATCACACCAATGGTCCTCAGACCTGCAGCAAAAAATGGACAAAGTCGAGCCAAAATGGCATTATTTTAAAAGTACAGTCAGGAATTATTTGACATTTTGTCAAAACAAGCCCTGAAAGTTAGACAGCAACATTGAACCAAGTACAACCAACCACAGTGACCTCATATTTCTAAAAGACTAAATAAAATTGCAACAGAAAATGATACATATTCGTCCTCAAAAAAAGTTAGAGAATGTTGTTTTTGTTGCTTTGTTGTTGCTTTTTGCACCATGTAGAGCAGCACAGAGCAACAAAACGGAAGTTACAAATATAAACGTGAATAAGACAATAGAGTTTGCACTCTTTCTAAAGCTCCTGCACATATCAAATCCTCTGTTTCTTACCCTGAGGGTCCACGTCTTTGGCCAGTTTGAGGGCGTCTGAGTTGGCCAGGTCAGTGTTGGCAGGTGTTACGGCCAGGATGAGGCAGCTCTCTCTGCAGATGAACTGCATGATCATATCGCGGATCTGCTGCTCGATGTCCGCAGGCTGGTCCCCCACCGGCACCTTAGTGATGCCCGGCAGGTCGATCAGAGTCAGATTCAACACTGCACAGAGGAAAGAGAATTCAGTTCACTCCAATTCAGTTCCATTTAATTCCATTCAATTCCATTTAGAATGTAAATCTCTGACTTTGCAATAATACAGCTGATTATGATCCTTCAGGACATTATCATTAACTCTCAAATTTAACCACAATTAAACTTAATTTCATTATTATAGTATTAGAATAAGGTATATTAGGTAAGAATATTTATTAAAATGTACAATGCTTTTTTATTTTGTTTCAGAATGATACCAAGATATTACTGCAGCCAAAAGTGAGCATATCGCTGTTGTCAGAAGAAAACCGTAACAATTGTATCTTTATTTTTGTCGTTTTTTACTTTTTGACATGATTTGAAAGCACCTGTTACTCTTTACATTGTGTGTAAATTTGATAAATGAACCAAATGAAATGGCTTGAAAAAATGACTTGGGAAAAATTCTGGTTCCATTGACTTACAATAAGTAAAGTTTTTCCTCCTCCTCTAAAGTTCTCATTCTGGAGATATGAGGTTGTGTCCGATAACAAAGTACAACCCTAAAGCAGATCAACTGGCTCATTAGCTCATTATTTGTACTTGGTAGCTAATGTTAGTTTGTACTGACAGAAAATGATTACAGTTCCACATAATTCTGTATAGAATCAAAGCTTTCATGTTTCGTTTAAGAGTCTGAAAATACAACACAAACCACACAGTGTGTAAGCACACATGCTAACAACACTAGCGTTAGCTATCTAGATATTACATCTTATACAGGTTAAAGTCTGAACTCTTGTTTTCTTAAGACCCATGGCAGTAAATGTGTTTTCTTTATTTATATCTATTTGCCACAAGCCAAGCAATGAAACTGCATTCACTTTATATTCAGTTTGTTGTGACACTGTATGATGCGAAATGTATTAACTGTGGAATATAATAGTGGTCATCTCAAATAATTGTGATCCGGTGGTCTCGCAAAGAATTGTGACCCTTTTGACCCTAATGAACTTCATTATAATTGATCCTAACATTCAAAATTTAATTCAGCTGAACAGCCACCTTCAGACTGATGTGTCAAAATGCACTGATGCATATTTATAACCCTAATTTGCATTTTATTTGTATGTCAACAGTGAGAAGTATCACAGAGCAGCTTTACAGAGATTTGGGCCAAGACCCTGTCAACTGACCAAGCCAAAAGAAAATAATAAAATAAAGTAAATTTAAAAATATTCCTGAATGGGATGAGGAAGGAACCTTGAGCCTTGAGCCAAGACACAAATACAATTTACATAAGCAGGATTAAAAGAGACAGATGCCACAGTCAATTAGAGAACAGCTGTCAATCAAAACGCTCAAAAGAAGCACTTCTTTCAAAAAGTCAAAATTAAATACGTATGTGGGCCAGTTAGCAAAACACCAATGATCGTGCTAACTGTTCGTGCTAATTTCCACTGAGTTTCAATATCAGCCATGTTAGCACCTTCAGGTTCAAGCTGAATGTTGAACGCTGCCCAAAAGAAAGAGAAGAACGGTCAAAGGGCCCCACAGAAAAACTCAGGTAATAGGATTTTACTTTATTTTAAAACTAAACTATAAAGGTTATTCACTGTACAGCATCTAAAACATCTAAACAGGCTCAAAAAGAAAGCATTTAAAGCAATACTTCTGGATGTGATAACACAAGGATCTCATTTTAAGCATATATTGTTCAATACTGCACAAAGACTATATCACTGCAGTCTGAAGAAAACCTCATATCTCCATTTTTGCCGTTTTCCAGTTTTCTACATAATTTGAAAATGCCTGTTGTCTGTTACATTGTGTGTAAATTTCAGCATGACTAGACAAAAAGAAACAGCCCAAAATGACATGGAAAAACATCTGGTTCCATTGACTTACATTAAAAATAAAGCAAGATTTTTCCTTCTCCTGTAAAGTTACCATTTTGGAGATATGAGATTTTCTTCCGACAACAGCGATATATAAGTTTGCAGCACTCTTGTTCAAAGCCACACAGCAGCCATATTTTCAAGGTCAACCTGCTGCCTTTCCACCTTCAAGAACAACTCAGTCTCAAAAGAACAGTAGGCTGAGCAGCAGACGGTACAAAAACACTGTCCGACAACAATCACTCAAAAACTTGGCCAATACTTTCCACAAAATTTAAAAACAGCATGGTGTAGATGACAGACACCAAAAAGAACTCAACCAAAATGCATCACAGCAAAACAATGATTGACAGCTTGTAGAATGAGTATTATTTTGACTGTCAACCATTTCACCACCAAAACTTTAGGGGAACATGTCAAGCAGCATCCAAACTTGGAAGAAAAGGAAGAGTTTCAGAGGGAGGAGACAGAGCTCGCCGTAGACATAGAGGTAATGAGGCCCTTCCAGCTAAGAGTAAACAGCCTGCTTATAGACTCTCAGCGGAGTTACTTACACAAGATTGACAGACATTCTGGTATCTAGTATCTTGGTCAACACCCCTGGGGCCCAAAGCAGGAGTTGCTGCTTAGCTAGCTTACCTTAGTTTGTTCTAACCCTGGATTTTCTGTCTAACAATGGTAACTGACCTTTAACTGGGCTACAACATATCAACTTATACTACATGCTTAACCTCCTCCAAGGCAGGTTAAGTTTGGAACTGTGGATTGTAAACAGCTCTTGGATCAACCAGGGCTGAGCTTTCAGCAAAGCCAGAGGCGTCTGTTTGTTTTTAGGTCTTTTTTGGTAAATTGCTGCAAGTCATCAGCTATGAGCTTGTTTGATAGTGCACACACACAAAACCAAGACAGAAGAAGAAAAATAGCATAGCAAACACTTAGTTAACCCTTCATTACATTTGCGGCAAACAGCCCATCAAGTGAAAAAACTGGCTTTTCAGCAGAGGAACAAGAAATCATAACATACAAAATATGAAAAATATGAAGCAATAACACCAACAGCCCCACTGTTTGTCTTCTTTTAGTCATAATCGCTTTATGTTGTATGCCATGGCACCAAATTACATATTTTGTTGATTTTTAAAGTGAAAATAAATGAACACAAACCTCTTTAGCAAACTATTTAAATAAATGAAAACTATCTGTAAATGTTATGGCACAGTTACTTTATATTGAGAAAAAGCAGCAGCATTTGATGATAAGAACACCTTGCTGACTGTTCTGCATAAGGTTGGATCTACTATGCTTTGGGGTTCTACGGCAGCCGATAGAAAAGGAAACAATGCCCAGGTAGACAAAAGAATGGATTTCACTACATATCAGCAAATTCAAATGTGATAAAGTCAGTTTAAAAAAAGCTGAAGCTGAAAAGAGGCTGGTTTCTACAACAGTACAATAACGAAAACATACCTAAAAATCCACCATGAACTACTTTACGAAATGCACATTGTAGCTTTGGAACGGCCCTCATAGCCACCTGACATGAACACCATTAAAAATTGCAGGTAGATCTTAAACATACTGTGCATGTAAGATGGCCCAACAATATCCAGAACAAAAAGAACTACGAACTAAATACTGAACTCAGAATTAGGTACTGAAGTAGCAGTGTGTCCAAATTTTTGCACATGCTACAAGTACTGCCATTTTTTCTACTTTTTAAGTTCATTGAATATAAAGTGATAAATATAAAGTAAGTATTACATTATCATTCGCAAAAAGTACTGTTTTTTACATAGTTTGTTAGAGAGATTTTGTTTACTTTTTTCCACTTCAAAAATCAACAAAAGTCTTGGTAACTGCAGAACTGTATGTTACTCTTTTTCTAGATAGAACCCTAATCCTGCTATGAATTAAGGCAGCATTATAAAAATAAAACCATGCTAATTATTTCTATTAGTTTTAAACTATTATTAGCCATGCTAACATTTTTTTAGACGCAATCACAAGGAAAAATGATGCTGAATGACCTTCCAAACACAGCCTGCAAAAAGCAATCCTATGTTGTTTCTGTGAAAATCAGGAAAAGGAAGGAAATGTGATGCTCCATCACTGCATTTACTTCACAGTCAATTTACCGGGACAAGAGCCAAGAGCACACTGGCACAAGATTCTGTGAATATTCGGCTGTGGGAACAGTTTGTTATGAAATGAAACGAGGATAAAGCATTTCTGTCTCCCATCTCATCTACATTATTTAACTCTATTCTTAATTATATAATCCCAAAGCTCCTCTTTATACTCAAAGCCAATTTTACAGCTTTCAACACAACCGAAGATGTCCAATTTCCTAAAAAGTCAGTTTCGTAAAGAGGACAGGTCTCAAAAAATAGCTGGAAAATGACGGTTAATGGCTGCACCAACCTAAGAAAAACCCAAAATAATGTCATATCTGATGTTATAAGGTGCTCTTCATAACAATAACATAACACCCAAATGCAGAACTCAAAAGCTTAATACTATGCATACAGCAGAGTCTAACAAGCATAATCATTTTGCATGATGTGAACCGACCATAACTGTCTATTATAGCTTGTTAGCCAGGGTAGCATTTGGGGGATATATTTTCCTTAAATGCCTTAAATAGCCAGGAGACACCAGTGCATTGAAGCTTCTATTACACATTTCTGTAACCTGAGAATAACCGATTTGTATTGTAGTCCATGTAGTTACTGAGTAATAAGCCCTTGGATGCAATAAGTCTGGGATTTTAGGGTTAAAGTTGATATCAGTGGACCGTACCATGTGGAGAATACACTCTCAGGTTGATAGGGATGGGGGAGATGCCCTTGTTAGCTCCAGTGACGCGGTCTGTCTCGGCTTCGATCTCTTGACGCACCTCATCGAAATCGGTGAACTTCTTCCCTTTGCAGTGAAGAAACTCCGCCCACTCTGCGGATCAGAAAAGAGAAAACACATCAGCTGTACTGACAACTGACACAAGTTGCCTTGTGCTACACTATCAGTTTAACACATTTGATTGGGACATTCAAACGGCTCAAAGCAAACCATTTGGGTAAACTGGACTGGAGAGTGCGATGAAGGTTTACATGTAGAAAACTGCACTAAGCCTACTGATAAAAGCAAGTGCCAAGATTACAAACATCATATTTAATATTGTACTGAGCTTTCGCATTAAATAACTACCACCATGATGCAAAAAATGCGATGTTAGCAGCTGGGACTCAAGCAGGTGTCAGACATAAAGGCAGCAGCTGCGCCAGCTGAATCATCACTTATCTCTGGAATGGACCTGAAACTTCATCTGTAAATGAGGTTTCAGCTTTAGTAAAAGGAAAGATACAGTGAAAAATCTAATTTACACAATAATTCCTTTATCCCTGATGTAGCTAATCGGCCAAGACATGACTGGTGTCCAAATTTTGATTCTTTAGTTTAGGGCTGGAGCTACAACGCTAATAAACACTAAAAGTCAATAGTCACCCAAAACTTTTCCAGAAATAAAACACCAAAGCTCTCTCAAACTGCATCAAGGTCACACAGACTTCATGTGGTTTAGGACACAGTGTGACATACAGTGAACTATAAAATGCATAGAACTTCACTGTGTAGCTGAACGCAGCAGACAGACATTTTAAACAAAAGGGTGCTGTGCCGACTTCTGACACCAGTTTGTCACGGACACTACAGGTTACATTTAGGACTTTTGTTGTTTCTTTTCATAAGTAACTGTTAGTTTTGAATTTTTGAACTGAGGATATATGTTTCTAAAAAGAAACAACAGAAATCGCAAATGTAATCTAAAGTCCATATGCCATCAAGTCGGATCCTGCTGTCTAAAAAAGGCAGACTGTGTTTAGCTGTGTTTAACTATACTGAGGAGTTTGTTCATTTTTCATAGCTCACAGTAACTCACACTGTGTCCTAAAATACACTGAAAGGCCTGAGCAACCTTAATGAAGAGAGGCTTTAAGCAAGTTGAGAGAAATTTTCAGGATGTATTTACAGAAAAGATTTGGGTGACTACTGACTTCCAGTGTTTGTTAGCTATGTTAGCCTCATAGCTCCAGTTTAAAACTGATGGAGCGCAATTCGGACACCAAAGACATCCTGGCTGTTCAACAACACTTGCTGTAATTGGAATATTGTGTAAAGTTGTTTTTTCACTGAACCACTGTTTCCCTTTAAGAAACACAAAATTAACTACATTTTAAATTTGCTAAAGATTAGCTGAGCTAGCTAAATAGAAACAGAGCAAGGCTGCAGCACTAAAAACAATTTTTAAAAACATTATTTCCCAATATTCACACAATTCTACCAGCTCAAATGCAACAGTGATATGTTCTAATCCTATTTCTGTCACTGTTTTTAAAAGGTATCTTTGCTCTGGCTAGCAGAGGGGGGTCCCGTGAGGGGGGTGCTCACCTGTGTTAGCATTGATAAGCTGCAGCACCAGAGGCCTGCGGGTGACGATGCCCGATCCTCGAGGCAGAAAATCCCTGGTGAAAGAAATAAAAATGCACCCAATAAGGATAAATGCATTAGAAGAAAGGGAGAGTAATTGAACAACTGGTAAATAGTGGGCTTGAGTTTATTTTGCATGAATTTAGACCCTACCAGTATCTCTAATCTGACCCAGGTTATCGATCCCCTGTGAAGCAATTAGCTCAGATGAAAAAGAACCTGAAAGCCATTAGGTGGCATGTTGGGGAGAGCAGAGCGCGGCCTATTGCTCTAATAAGGAGCTTTACAGCAAGATCAATCGTAGGTGCACTTTCAGTATCAAGAGATACAAATAGGGCACTCCCTCTGCCTCGGTGTCCACATTCGTTACACTGTCAAATCACGTCTAACAGGATAACACGGGCACACATGGCCAGTCGTATCTGATTTGAGGCAACATTTATAAGCCTGACAGTAGTGAGTGTGTGGGCCTGTGAAGTGTTGAGTGTAGTGATGTACTGAGTAAGACATCGCTTCTGTGCCAACGTCTCCAACAGCAGCGAAGCACGAACTGAGGATTTATCCCAACAGGAGCTGCCTAAAGCTGACAGAAACGCAATCACAAAGAGAAGGTAACCCAAATACTGCCTGCCCTGGTATCAGTATAGAACCGGGCTAAAAATAACTGATAAAATGGATATGAGGTGAGGCGAGGGGAGACGTAGCTCAACAAGGAGAGGAAAAAAAAAACTAAGCGCCAAAACAGACACAGCGGGGGAGCTATGACCTTCACATCATGTGGAGTAAAATGAAGGAAGACGCCCTCCAGGGTAAGATGACCCCCTACTGTTTAATTTCTCTCCTCAGCAAATGAGGGGGCCAGATCTAATCTTGACGTATTTTCCATGATGTATGTTTTGCTTGTTTTGAAATTGACCGCTGTTCCTGCTTATTTCCCCAAATTCTGTAAGTTTATATGCATCACCATTATGTAAATGACACATAAAATACATAAATGGTTTAAACTTACAGTTAACATATCTCAAACGGACACACTCATTAAGAAAGGTGTCTTCTCCCACCTCCCCTTCCAGGATTTTCAGATTAAAACGATTTCTAGATCTGCATTATGCCATCTTTATAGAGATTTCTCTGGGATTTTATGCTCTGATGGATGTACCAGTGACCCATTTAAAGTGGTTCACCGATTGCTTCTTCTAAGTCTATAAAAGTTCTTCTTCTACTGTATTGTTTCATGAGTGACTCGTTAAATGTGGATTTTTATAAAAGAGACAGTGGCAACATTTGCCAAATAGCATAAAGGGGAATGCGCTATATTTTTCACAGTGTCTTCATAATTAAACTGTTAAGATGTACACAGAGTCATTCAGAGTGGTTTGGTGTGAAATGCTCCGTTCTAGAGACAATTTCAGTGTCAGATTTCTTCACAGTGGTGGTGATAGGAACCAAACGTCCACCTCTAAAAGCTCCCTCACAGAAAGCTACTACATGATTTTACGCTAGTTTTCATGGCTGAGAAGTACATGCAGATCATTATAAAAAAAAATAATACACAAAAAACATTTTTACATCATTTTGCACTATTTTACCATCATCAACATTACATATAAAAACTCAAAAGACTTGTGTAGGTTCACTGGTGGTCTTGGACAGCAAATAAAATGGCTATATTTGTGTTGTAGTCATCACCACCCCTGGTTCCTATCAACACCACTGTAAGGAAATCTCAGTCTGTAAGTTTCTCTACTTCTCTGAATGACTTTACATCCCAACAAGTGAACTTTGCAGAAATGTTGCGAATTCTATGTTAAGGGGAAACCCAAACCCTGCTTACCTTCCCACAAAGTTCTCCAGCACGGAGCTCTTGCCAGCGCTCTGGCCGCCAACCACGGCGATCTGCGGCAGGTCGAGGTTGCAGCTCTGGCCGATGGAGCTGAAAGCGTCCTGCAGCCGGTTAACCAGCGGAATCAGGTCCTCCATACCCCGGTTCCCCATGATGCTGGGCGGCCAAGAGGCGAAAGTGCTTCTTCAGGAGGGCTTAGAGTCTCAGAGAGGATGAGGATGGAGGCACATGAAGATGAGCCAAGGCCCCCCAGAGGCCCGATGCTAGAGAGAGAGAGAGAGAGAGAGAGAGAGATGGAGGAGACAGAGAGAGAGAGATGGAAGAGACAGAGAGACGGAGGAGAGAGAGAGATGGAGGAGACAGAGAGAGAGATGGAGGAGACAGAGAGATGGAGGAGAGAGAGAGATGGAGGAGACAGAGACAGAGAGAGAGAGAGAGAGAGAGAGATGGAGGAGAGAGCGTTGCGCAGTCGCCGTTATTTTCAAGGGCATTAGGGAACACTGGAGGCCTCGCTGGGCCACTGCGGGACTGTTTCCAGTGCTTACCACGATAACTAAATATGTAAGGAGGAATAAAACGCTAAGCATAATACTCTCCATCCTGCTCAGTCATCGGGGTGTTTCACAGAGCAGGATTTCTCCATAAAGCTGGAAAACACCAGCCCATCGTATAGACTGACCAACAGCAGCCTCTCTCTCTCTCCTCCTGCAGGACAGGCTCGACTGTGTGTTTAGATTATCTGACCTATAAATCCTGCTTTGCGAAAAGCCCCCTTCTCTCCTGGATGGACGCACGAAAAGCTGGCTACACGTAACTTACACGCCTCGGGACACAGAGTCCTTACCGTTATGACCGTTATCCCTCACACCGGCTGACTGTCCGTCCGTCCGTCCTTCCCAAGCAGCTCTGCGTCTTCACAAAAAAAAAACAACAACGAGCTTTTAACTCCCAGCGCGGTTCACGGAGGCTGGATGCCCCTGGCCGGGGGAGGATGGGGGCTGGATGGGGGTTGTGGGGGGTCGGCTACGGTCCTCGAGCACCTCGGCGGTGTAAATGTGTGTCTTTTGGAGGGTTTGTTTTGTTTTCTAAACGGCTCCGAAATGCACCGTTCCGCGTTAAAGCTCCATTCCGCCGCACTAATTTACGGCGCGATTGATTGACGCGCCGGCCGACCAATCACGACGCGCCTCCTCTCGCCCGGGCCGCCGCTCAGAGCGATCCTATTGGCGGAGACGTGGGCACAGCCAACAAGCCCCGCCCTCTCCTCATTCCCTCCTCCCGTTCCCTTTAAGAATTACGTCGTGCCGTCGTGAGTCACGGAATCCCACAGCCGTGCACGAAATAAAATCACTGAGAGCCAAAGACAGGAGTGACCGTGCCAAAACGATCATATTTATCCATATAAAATATCGATTTTTTCGCTTACTTACCAGATAAAAGCAAGGCCTTTGTGTTTTTCTGTTTTGTTTTGGTCACGAATGGCTGCTACGCCAGCATTAGTCAGCGAAACGAGCGGAATGCGACAGTCATGAGCTCCCTGATCATCTGAGGACGAATTAACTACTCAGATATTGTAAACAGGGATAATATTAAGATGTGGCCACTATTTTAATGAGTGTAGGGCTTTAAAAAGTCTATTTTAATAGTTTGTTAGCTCATTTCTGCTAATCTGACTGAACAGCGGGCGCTCTAACGGCTCTGCTCTTTCTAACGGTAACGGTTTTTTTTTTAAACTGACAGTCCAGCTTGTATCACTCCGCCGAGCCGGCAACCGTTTTTTTCAGGTTGCTAGGTAACAACAGCGGCAGCACTAGCCCAAGGAAGGGCCTGACTGCCAGCTAACATTAACGTTAAAATAAAATAAATAAATATAACATGGTTCTGACTATTTTGCTTTCAAAAACAGGCGAATGGACGCAGTATGACTTGGTCAATAAAGACCAGCAATACAATTTTCACAATGTTTGAATAATTCAGTCACTGAGATGTGAACAGAGTCATTCAGAGTGGTTTGGTGTGAAAAACGTACAGACTCAGATTTCTTTACAGTGGTGGTGATAGGAACCAGGGGTCATAATGTCTACAACACAAACATAGCCATTTTATTTACTATCCAAAACTGAGTCTACTGAGTTTTCACACAATGAGTTTTTATCATCATCTCTTGATGATGGTGTAATAGTCATAAATCTGAAAAGTACGTTTTATTTGGGGACTATTTTGCCTTACAACGCCTACCATGTATCCCTCCACCATGAATGGATTCAAATGTTTGGATTCAAATACATTTTAAGCCAAAACTTTATTACAAAACTATCGTAAAACAAATACAACAAATCAAACAAGCAAATCAGGCAGTGTATTCATAACCATTTCATGTAGTAATATTCTGTGAGGGAGCTTTTAGAGGTGGACGTCTGGTTCCTATCACCACCACTGTGAACAACTCTGACTCTGCAAGTTTCTCTAGAACAAAGCATTTCACTCCAAACCACTCTGAATGACTTTGTTTACATCTTATGTAGACTTTTTTTTTTTAATCAGTGGAGTTCCTTATTAACATTGTCAAGTTCACAAATCTGCCTAAATTTGAATAGTGATCTACAGGGACATGGTCCATGTGATCTACAGTGCAGGTGCTGAGGGGGCTGCAGCAATCCCAATTTCGGGACTGCCACTGTTAAAAATAATAGTGATAATAAAATGTTCTGATCTTCATAATGATTTGAGAGTAATAGAGATCCATGTGTGCTTGATTTAGAGTGGAGTTATTTTTATATTTTTATATTTTCAAAACCTGCAATAGCTACACTTTTTTAAGTGAACACTGAATTTTCATTACACTAAGCAGAAAATGGTCCACTTTCGGGGTGCATTGGTAAAGCATACACAGGTTGAGGTTCGAAGAGAGAATGTCTGTGCAGCGTTACTGGCCAGTTCTGAGCTCCAAAGCAGCCTTATATTGTATATTAAACTTAAAAATAATCTACCATAATAATTACGTTTATATCAACCACTCACCAGGTGCCTGTTGGTAGGACACAATCGATTACCACTCCACACATCAACAATCTGATTGGTCGTCGCTCAGTTCATTTGCATGAGGTTTGTCCAGAACAAAAGAGCAGAGAGAGGATGTGCATGAGCGATTTGATGAGTCAGTTATATTTATACATTGATATCTCTGGCCTCATTGTAGCACTATGTGACACATTCCATTTGATGAAAATTAGCAAAATAAATAAATAAATGAAATTGAAAATGAAAATGAAAAATTCTGGTGCACATTAGATTAAACTGCAGCAAAGGAAAAAAAACAAGTGGTTCAATCAAGCAAAAAAGTTTTATTATGTAGAAACAAAGCATGGGCACCATCTTAATGGGCACCTCCCCACCTTAGAGTATTTTCCAGTTTCAAAGACAGAAGCCCACCATCTCACAACGCCATCTCCATCCTTAAAAGTGGGCAGACTCTGGTCCACAATGTACTGAAAAATGTTCGCTACCAATTCTGAATGAAGCAGGAGGCCACAGTTCTGTTATTCTTCAAATTTTTCATTAAATCACCTTAAATATCAATGTTTTCATTCCACAGTTTGAGGTGGCACGGAAATATGCATAAAAGCAAACTTCAGCTTCATGAACGACGCAGTATGTTTATTTTAAATGATAAGAAACAGAAATACAATCTGTGCTACAAGATAGGAGAACTTTCCCTTTCCCTTCTTTGGTCGCTCACGCAGCCATCTTGCCGTTTTTTCTTTTTTTGTGCTACAAGATAGGAGAACTTTCCCTTTCCCTTCTTTGGTCGCTCACGCAGCCATCTTGCCGTTTTTTCTTTCTCATATCACTCCGTTTGGAGTGAGCCTCTGAAAAACCTCCGTTTGGAGGGCCGCGTAGCCCTAACATTTCGCCCTACCCCTCTATCTCAACTAAAATCGGGACACCCTAACCCTAGACGTGAACGCGCAAAACATTAGTGCACATGGAATGGGTGCATGAACATCTGTGAAGGCACCATTAATGCTGAACGATATATACATGTTTTGGCAACATATGCTGCCATCCAGACAACATCTTTTTCAGGGAAGGCATTGATTATTTCAGCAAGACAATGTCAAACCACATTCTGCATGTATTACAACAGCAGTGCTCTGTATTAAAAGAGTTTGGGTGCTAAACTGGCTTGCATGCAGTCCAGACCTGTAACCCACTGATAACATTTGGCGCATTATGAAATGAAAAATATGACGAAGGAAACCCTGAACTGTTGAGCAGCTGAAATCCTATATGAAACAAAAATGGAAAAACATTTCACTTTTAAAACTACAGCAATTGGTCTCCTCAGTTCCCAAACGCTTACAGAGAGAGGCTCCAGGCCCACATGGACTCAATTTGACTATTGAATTTTGACTTTTGTATTTGTGTGTGTTAGCTGTGTTGTGGAACTGGGGTTGTGGGTTAAATTGATGTTTATGTCTGTGTACAGATGGGGTTATCTGATTTACATTGCAAATTCACCATTTCATCATTTTCAATAACACCAGAAAAAGGTACACCATCTTTGTTGTATTTCTTTTTTGCTTATCCATTCAGAGTATAGTCCACGACATTCTCATTCCCTGCGTTTTATAAAGATTCGGTAGGAAAAGGGTCCTGCTGGGTGTTATAAAGCCTTTGTGAGATGGCTACAACTCACCAATCCAGAGAAAAAGGGTCAAAATGTTTTTACTGTGATGCAGTTTATACCACTTTAGCCCCTGCAGTGTGAAACCAACCAAACAAATGAAAAAGGTATAATATCCCAAAAGCCCAAACTCTGGTTGGGACTTCAGAAAATGAAGCAGGTATGAAAACAACCTGACGTTCTTCAGAGATGTTAGCTGGCAAGGTTTGCTCTCTGAGGCTGAAGTGAAGAGCTGGGTCAAAACAAACACTGACACTGTTCATGTAGAGGTTTTTGGCATTAGCATGACATGAAAGGTAATTTTAGTTCATCAGTCATTGGCCTAGTTGCATTTTGTCAGACGCATTTTTTTCAACAAGCCATGCCCACCAACTTTTGGACGTGTAGCCCTAACCACCACACCCCCACACCTCCTGTTTCTGTGTGTGTTTCCGTCAGCCTACATTTTGATAACAGATGAAAATACAGTACAGCTCCTTGTTTGTGCTTCTTTTTTGATGCTGTTTTACATGAAGCTCCAGTAAGCAAATTAACAAAGATGCACCGATATATTTATCATGAAGCAGATTCCAGTCTGTTATCTAATTCAACAGAACCTGACATTTACATATTTCCATTTTCATGACGACTTGGTAGGGTTAGCATGAAAGAAAATGCTCTCAGAGGCTGTTATAGATACAAAGGGGGGCCATTTCCACATTAATGCCCATGGTTTTGGAATAGGATGTCCTTCAAGCTCATGCAGGTTTGATGGTCAAGTGTCCACATACTTTTGGCCACAGGGCATATTTTTTTTACTATCACTATTAATGCCTTGAGTTTAAATAAGCCATAACTTGTAAATATCCAGGGTCTGAGTACTGAATTGAGGTTTTTTTTTGCACTTGCACTTTTGGTACAGCGGTCCATACATGACTGGAAATTTATTTATTTGTCTGATAAAGTGTCTCACAAAGTTGGCAAAATTTAATGGCATTTCCTAGTGGAAACCTGTGTGCGTAATGGATGCATACTATGGTAGGTGAACTCACTCATTAGAAGGGATGTCCGGATACTTTTGAGTATGTAGTGTACCATTCTGTATACTGGGTGCAGTAGTTGTGTCCCTCTTAAAGCCCTTTTAGCCATTTCAAAATATAGTTTACTGGGATTTCCACTGAAACAGCTGTTGAAAATGGCGCAAGATAAAATCCAAACCAGAGCCCAGAGGTCAGTCAGGGCAGCTTCTGAAGAATCAGTCTACGTTCTGATAGCAGATGAAACTCAAGTACAGCTCTTTGTTTGTTTCTTTTTCGGTGCTGCTTTACATGAAATCCCAGCGATGAACAAAGATCCACTGTTACAGTAAACAGGTAGCACGCTCAGGTCTGTTACCTAATCCAGCAGAACCTGGAATTTACATATTGCTGTTTTCATATGCCTGAAAGCTGGTGCTGACTTAGATGTAATCAAATGTCACAAATAAAACAAGGACATAAGTGGACGTCAACACAGATAATAATAAGCTAACTTATTATCCTTGCTGAATTTCACAGCCTACACCCTGCTTTGTTGACTTCAGGTAGACTACTGTCTTTAGCTTCTCAAGCTTCTAAAGCTCAAGTTTATTAGTTAACACTTCAGCTTCTAGCTGACATAGTTAATGGATATCTACATTAGCTGGACAACATTAGCTACTTAGCTACGTCTGCTGCACAGTTAGACTGATATGTTCTCTGCAGCACAATTACCTGTTTAGAGTAAGAGTCACACTTCATGTCCTTCAACTATCTTAGCTCTCTCCAGAGTTGGAAAGCTATGAAGAGGCTGTTTGTCCTTGTTGTAGATCGTTTTCTTTTTTTTTTTCTTGTCTTCTTTTCTTTATAATTTCTTTTCTTCTATCTTTCTTTTTATTATTTATTTGGCAGTGTAAGCCAGCATGCTGTCATATGTAGTATCAGGATCACCAATGTTGGTGTTTTATTTCAGAAAAGGCCATTTTGATGTTATTTTTTCCGTCATTGTTTTTTTGAAGAACTAACTAGTTGTTGCAGTGGGTCGTTCCAGCAGGTGTCCACTGGACTAAAAGGTCATGGAGAGTAGTAAGAACACAAAACATTGTTACATGCTGTTCAATAGGTGCGTAGAGACTTCAACACTGTTGATTTTTCACTGTTATTTATTTATTTATTATTTATTGGTACAGTCAAGAATAATTCTAAGGCACAATCCAGATATTATATATCCAAAAGTATGCAGCCACTCCTTCTTATTAACAAAGTCACCTAGTGTATGGAATAATATACTGAGTAACACCTGTGCTGTAGACTGTGGTTCTATACAAATAAGAGTCCCTGGGTAAGACTGCTAACAATATGCCTGCCTGTGTAAAAATGATCAAATTGTAAGTCGCTCTATATAAGAGTGTCTGCCCAATGCTGTAAATGTGGCTACTTAGAAGAGCATCGATTGCTGTCACATATATTCAGCTTATATAATCTCCATATCTCTAAATCACTGAACAATAGGAGGGAACACTCTAGAGCAGCTGTACATGAAGTGGGGTGTAAAGCCCCTCAACTCTGGGCTGTGGAACTGTGGTTCTCTGAAATGATGGAGCTCCATCAAATACCTTTGGGATGAGTTGGAGTGATCCAGAACTAACATCATCCTAAATACCATCATCCAACATCCACCTGACCTCACTAATTCTCCTGTATTCCTCACGGGAATGTTTCAGTGTCTAGTATAAAGCCTACCCATAAGAGTAGAGGCTGTTACTGCGGCAACAGGGGACAAACTTCCTATTGATACCCTTGAATTCAGAAGAAATGCTGGATGAGCAGGTGTCTACAGACTTTTGGACATGTAGTGTATAAATGATTTATTAAAATGTAAACATTTAACTTAACTTACAGAATGAAAAGGGCCACCTAAGGGCCATTAATCAACAGTATTAAAAGATTTGTGGAGTTGCTTAATATTGGAATGTTTTTGAAAGGATTCTAATGGATTACTAATGGATTTAATGAATGTACTAACATCACAGAGAATAGACAATTTCAGTAAAAGCATGATAATTGTAATGAAATGAAGAGGCACACTACTGTGAAGTACAGCACGTAGATCCAGCTTCATTGATGGTTCCCTGAATCCTTATCTAAAGCTCTGAAAAGAGACAAACGAGAAATTATAATTTCATATCTGAATATTGATATATTTGTTATTAGAATATACAGACTTCTTGGTCTCACCCTCAGAGGTGGTGCAGATGAAGTTGAGTCTCTGGTTCTCTGGCAGACTGACCCACTTCTTACTCCCAGACTGCACCGCTCCTGATCTTTCTCCTCCACTGCAGTCTTCCACCCCTGTCCCGTTCCCCGGAGCCCAGTTCTGGTAGCAGATAGTCGATCCACTCACCCAGAACCAGAATTTCTGAGCACAGGTGTGACGCAGACCCATCCACACATTAGCAGTGGAGCCATAATCAATCTCTGTTTCCACCCAGTGCTGAATTTTCTCAGTGTGAACAGAGACCAGATCCACATGATTCTCTCTGCAGTATCTCAGAGCTTCCCACCACGTCTTCTCCTCTTTAATCAGGATGAGTGGAAGACCGTGAGCTGAGAAAGAAGAAGAGGTTTCACTACATTACATTTGATCAATCACTCAGTTCTTCTGTACACACTATTCACTGTAGATTCACTGTGTATCACCACTTGTTCTCATTGTCTTTTCAGTGTAGCCTGTATTCTACATTAGTTTGAAAAGGTCTGGCTTCTGAACTGACCTACAAAGAACAACCCTCCACCTGTTAGTCATGTAACAAACACAACTGTCTTCTATCTTTCATTACAGGGTTTTTTTTATGTAGACAAGTCTGGGTTTGGTGAATGCCAGGAGAACGTTACCTGCCTGACTGCATTGAACCAACTGTAAAGTTTGGTGGAGGAGGGATGATAATATGGGGCTGTTTTTCAGGGGTTGATCTAGGCCTCTTAGTTCCAGTGAAGGGAAATCTTAATGCTTCAGCAAAAGACATTTTGGACAGTTGTATTCTTCTGCTGAACAGTTTGGGGAAGAACCTTTACTGTTCCAGCATGACTGAGCCCCAGTGCACAAAGCAAGGTCCATAAAGTCATGGCTGGGTGAGTTTGGTGGGGAAGAGCTTGACTGGCTCTCACCGAGCCCTGACCTCAACCCCATCAAACACCTTTGGAATGAACTACAATGGAAATTGTGAGCCAGACCCTCTCGTCCAACATCAGCGTCTGACCTCACAAATGCTCTTCTGGATGAATGGGCAACAATTCCCACAGACACTCTCCAACATCTTGTAGAAAGCTTCCCAGAAGAGTGGAAGCTGTTATAGCTACAAAGGGAAACCAACTCCATATTAATGCATATGGATTTAGAATGGGACGTCATAAAAGCTCCTGTAAGTGTAATGTGTAGGTGTCCCAATACTTTTGTCCATACAGTGTAGCGATTTTGTGTGGGCAGGAAATAAATTACTTTTTCAAAAGTGCAGTGGGCCTGTGAGCATTAACACACTAGCCAATAGGTATAATAAATAAGTATAATGTTACGGAGCCCCAAAGGGGACGGAGGTAAAAATAAAAATTCATTTATTTATGTTTTGCAATTCGTATGCACTTTTCTTGCATTTGTATTCACGATTTCTTAATAAGTTTCCACGATCAGCTGTTTCATTTGTCATGTGCACAAGTAGGCTAACAGCTCCCTGAAACTGTCTGACGGGTTTTGATGTTTTTGATGTGATCATGGACAGAGATGCTCATTAAGTTTGACTATGATTTGGGGGCGTTATGAGGTCACTGTAGCTCCTCCTCACAACGGAGCATCAGAATCAACAAACGGCCGCAGATTCATTGGTGCAGCTGCAGTTTGGTGGTGAAATGGAGGAAGACAATAAACTACAACCACAATCTTCACTGAACTGCACTTTCTAATGATTAGATTAAACTGATGAAGACGCAGTGCGGCCGCTTAGCCCTGTTTCTGCTCGTGAGTAGAGCTGCAGTGTTAGAGACCATCACACAATTACAGGAAGAAATATTCAGCGTCAATGTTTCAACAAACTCAAACACACAAACCCCCGTCTATTTTCATACTTGGACTCCATTCTTTTCCTTCAAGTGGGAGCAACTGAGAAGTTATTAAGTTTAAGTGTTAAATCAGATAGGTATACCTCTGTTTTGTCTGAGTTGAGTAGGAGGAAGTTACTCAACATCCAGTCTTTTATGTCTTTCACACAGTCCTCAAGTTTAAAGTTAAAGTTTATCATCTGGTTTGGTTGATATATATAACTGTGTGTCATCAGTTTACATTTACAAACTGATAGTGATCAGTGAGGTAAGATCTGAGCTATTCCTGTTACTCCCACAAGGTTTTCTAGCCTGTCTAGTAAGAGTGGTCTATCATATCAAAGTCTGCACTAAGATCAAACAGAACTAACAGAGACACATTATTAGAGATTGTTTACAATTTCCACTAGTGCTGTCTCTGTACTATGATGTGGCCTAAAACCAGACTGAATTTTTTCTTGCATATGATTCCTATACAATAGGAATTGTTTTGCCACAACTTTCTCCAAGATCTTTGATATAAAGTGGAGATACGAGATCTATAATTTGACAGTTCGCAGGGATCAAGGTTAATTACTGGTCTAATTGCTGCTAGTTTAAGAGGTTTTGGAGTATAACTAAAGCTAAGAGAGGAGTTTATTATTGACACAATGTGCTTGGTTATTTTTTGGCAACATTTTTTGAGTAAACCTGTAAGAATCGGATCTAATTTGCAGGTAGAAGATTTTGCAGAGGAAATAATTTTAACTAGCTCAGTTTGTTAGGTAAACGAGATAAACGGTCCCAGCCTCTCTGCAGTAGTTACAATATTCTCAAGATCTGGATTGGCTTTCTAAGGCAGCAGGTTTGTAGAGTTTAGCTGTGCATTTTCTGCCTGATTTTCGAAATGTTAATACTAAAGAAATTCATAAAATCATTGCTGCTGTAGGCTGATGGCATCTGGGGTTCAGTAACTGTTTGGTTCTTAGTCAATTTAGAAATAGTGCTAATTGTGCTAAATAATAATCTAATTATTATTTTTATAATAATTATTTTATTATTTTTAGTTATTTTGAGTAAAACCCACAGCATCTAAGACAGATATAAATGCCTTACTGAGTGGATCTTGTGTTTTATCATAATAGTTTTTTTTTATTATAATTGTTTTGGATTTTTACCTAATTTTCTCCCCAGTTTAGTCGTTTCCAATTCCCCCCGCTAGTTTGGACTCCCCCAATCACACGATGCTATCAACGCTAGGAGGGTGAAGGCTAACACAGGCTTCCTCCGAGACCTGTTAAACCAGCCACCGCTTCTTTTCGAGCTGCCGCTCACGCAACGTCACTGGACAGCCGAGCGCGCTCGGAGGAAAGCGCCAACCGCCAGATCTGTTACGTCAGCTAACAGACGCCTGCGCTGACTAGAATCGCGCTGAGTGATGGGGGGAGGGGGGGCATCCTACCCACCCAGAGAGAGCGAGGCCAATTGTGCTCTCTCGGACTCCCAGCTACGGATGGCTGTAGCATCACCAGGGATCGAGCTCGCGATCTCCTGATGACAGGGCCAACGCTTAGACAGGTGCGTCATAACAGTTTATCAAGGAGAAAAATAAAATGCATCTTCTCAAATTTCTGTAACTCTTTTATGTCACTTCATATAACTCTGGCTGCTCAGGAGGCAAAGAGCGTGTTTCTCAGATCTTTTCATGTTTATCCAAAAATTCAAGAAATAAAACAGCACAAATATTTATTCTAACAGCACAAATGAATAGTAGAGTAGTGTTGTTTATGCCATTTCTGATTAAATGGGGGCTAAATTCATCAAGCAATCATCTGTCCTAGTTTCATAAAAGTGATGATTATTAATTAGTAATAATTAACACACAATATTTTCTCACTGTCTGTTCTGACTCTTTTTATTTGTTCTATTAATATTTGAAGTAACTGAATTAAATTAAATCTGATTTTCAGAATATATACTTGTGAAAACACACAGTCTTGATCAAATGACGTGTAAATAAGGTAACACATCCTCTACAGAGAAAACAGAGAACACAAGAAAATATATACTAAAATATGCAGAAAAATGAGGTTTAATTTTCCTGTAGAAAAACTTATTTTCACTTAGAAAATAAACTAAACCTGGGTTTTACACACAACTGTAAGTGTCTGATTATAGTGCTACTTACAAAAGTATTTTTTAAATCAGAATAGAAAATGTCATTTATGATTTCATTTCTGCTTTTTACACTGTAAAGAAAAAAAAGGTTTGGGGCTGCGTTTCACTGCAGTGTGAACACAGCCCATAATTCACTATTCAGATCTGCTTACATTAAAGCGCTGAGTCAGTGTAACTGCTGCAAAACACAGATATTAGACATGAATGAACTGAATCTGTAACAGATGTTCTGCAGTTCATCATCTTATATTACTCACCTTTATAGCAGATAAATGGATTTGACCATTTGCAGCCTGCATCATTCCATGTGTATTCAGGGCTTCTCCATAACGTCACACAGTTATCACCCACAGGGTTGTCTGGCTCTCCAGTTTTCCAGTATGTGTATGTAGAGTTACTCCCATCTGACCAGATCCAGCTCTAGAAACACATTAATACCTGATCAGTGAACTGTTTAAACACCTTTCACATTAGTCATGTAGAGATTTGAGTAAATTGTTGATGTATATAATTAAAAAAAAAAGATTTTAAACTGTATGTGTGCTAAAGTTAACACACAAAAAAGTCATTATAAAGTTAGAAACATGAATAAAAATCATATTAAAATTTGGTAATCAATATTTAATGATGGTCATAATGAGGTTTAGTTAAAAATTAAATAGTATTTTTAAGTAATATGTTTAACAGATTGATACAGAACACATGGGTTACACATCAGAGAGAATAATTTAAATAAAATTATAAATAATAAAATAATATAAAAGATAAGGTGCAGTGAATATGAACATCTGCCATTGCAGGTTTCTTTATTTTGATTTTTGATTTTTTTTTATTTAGTCTCCTTTTCAGTTCTATCCTGTAAATTTGCTTTTCTTACAGTGGTGTTCTGTTGAATGTTCTGTCTCAGTCCTATCCAGGAAAGGTCTGCTGTCCCGTTGAGAAAAGCTATCAGGACGTTCATTTCCTCTTGGCTCTTAATGGTGACCAGGTCAGTGTATTTCTCTCTGCAGTATTTCTGAGCGTCGGTCCAGTTCTTATTTTCATTCACCACATGAAACTGACGAGTCCCACAGAAGGAGAGAGTCCACAGAGCTGTAGAGATGAAAGCTCTCATCAGCATGACAGTACAGTAATGAAGCAGCAGAGAGTTTTACAGATGATCATGAAGCTACACTGACCTGAGAAAAGCAGGATCAGATACAGAGCTGAACTCATGACTGTGGAGAACAAGAGAGACACAATTCACACACACACACACACACACACACACACACACATTCAGTGCAGTGCAGAGCAGAAATAATTGGTCATTGGTGACTTTGTTTTATTTTTCATTTTAATAACTATTAAAACACTCTGCACTTTTAAACATCTATCAGTCGAGCTTGTTACACCTGCAGTTTGTCCTAAATGAGCGGTGAGGCTCCTAACAGGTACTAAAAGAAAGTTAGAGCACCACCCCTGAACTTACCTCCATGCACTGGTTACCAGATGGATACAGAGTTAAATTTAAGGGTTTTATTTTTATTTATTATTTTTAAAACCCCTGCATGGCTCCAAGTTATTTTCTGAGCACACATGCCCAGAGCGGTGGAGTTGGGGGTTGCTTAAGGGTATCATGGGTGTCTTGCTTAAGGGCATTTCAGTCATGTCCTGTCAGCTTGAACTGGCAACCTTCCGGTCACAAGGCTGGTTCCCTAGCCTTCAGCCCACGACTCCCCAAATACATACATACATACATACATACATACATACATACATACATCAATCAATCATCTAAACCACTTATGCTTCTGGGTTGTGGTGGGGTGCTGGAGCCTATCCCAGCTGTCATTGGGCGGAAGGCAGGATACACCCTGGACAGGTCGCCAGTGGTTGGTTGACACATGTTGTGTTTTAAATGTGCTACATAAATAAAGGTGACCTGACTAACCCGTAATTGTATGATCTCAAAGAGAACAGAATTATGGAACATGAACGAGGGATGAGTTGAGTTTGGTGGAGATCAAAGGAGGACAAACACACAAGGAGTGCTGACACTTCTAAGCACTATTTACACTACACAGCCCACCCTCTTCAGACACAATTAAAATATAAACAGCTATTCTAATGATGACATCAGCAACAACAGCACCAATAATGGTCCTTTTAACCCGAGAACATGGTGCATTCTGAGAGTCACTTTGCATGGCCACACCGCCAAACCCCAAGCGGCCTGTGGTAGACGCCATAATATTCATTATAAGTATTAAACCTTCTGTTGAAGAATGAATTAACACCCTTATCATGATAATCCCATAATGTTGATAATCCCATACAAGTGCTGAAATTAGCATTGTGCTAGCCGTGGAAAGTGGATAAACAAAAGCTATTCACAAAGTGAGAAAAAGTGATTATATGCAAGGCTGGGAGGATACTTTAAAATTATTTTATTTCACAGATTACTGATTACATTTGTAACAAGTAATCTATAACCTAATCCAAATAAACCTAATCTAAATAAAGTAACATATTCTGACTACTTTCTGTGACTTTTGGATCACTTGTGTGTTTAAAGTTATGTGTTTAAAAATTGGAATAAATGCCTCAGAAATCAAGTACAAGTACAAAAAACAGAGCTGGTCACCTGTGGACTTTTTAAAACCAACAGCATTTGCAGAAATGCTCTACAAAACCTGCCACATCAAGTAAAAGATAACCTTGCATTAGTGTTACTGATGCTGTTGATATTTAATGTTAAATGGCACAGTGTGCAGCAGACCAGTCAGATTTTGACCAAGTCAGCCTATAAAATACAGACCTATTTTTAAGTACATCTATTGTATAAATAAATACATGTTTGCATGTTTATAGTTTGTAGTATTATTTTAATTAATTTGAAACTAAGCATAAATGATAACACACATTAGTGGTTGACTGTGAAGAGCTATAAATGATCACTGTGCAAAGAGACAGCAGTATTTGTAGGTAAAACTGAGTAAACCTGAAAGTTAAATCTATATTTTCATTGTTTCATTATATGTATTATTTCAATGATTCTGTGAGGTAAAAACAGCTACTGTTTACTTTTCTAGTTTCCAGTCGTAGGTAAGAAAATCATGAGTGTATATTTATAACAGTCACTTATTTCTGGTGTATTACTATAAACATTATGGCTGTCTTAAACTGAAAAATAAGAATACATGCTTTCAATTTAACAAAATGTTTAGATCTTTAAAGGTGTTTCTTACCTGTTAGGGCTGGTAAAGCTGCTCTGTTTGTGTCTTCTGTGGTTTGTGGTGTCTGTAACTAAAGAGGAAACTAAAGCCAATATAGCTCTGTTTGTTTTGTGCTCCTCCTCTGTTTATGATGATTTACATGACGGCTCACTGAACAAATGCAAATTAGTTCACACATACAGCAGATTTGTACAGTAAAGCTGCACTGTGTAAGTGCTGAGGATTTGGAGCCCTCTCTGGTGGAAATGTGTAACTGCACACAATGTGCAGAAGAGCATTTTGTAATATGGGGTGGTCTTCAGACCCCCTCCCTGAGCAGATCAGTCTGATGACTGATTGCGTTAAAAGAGCATTCAAAGAGAACTTAATCAAAACAGCGTGAAGGACGTGTCTGACCATCATATCTTCATCAGTATAATGTTGATTTTGAGACATCTGAGACCTAAACATCAACATCATGTGTTTGATGATAATATGTAAAGACGTAGGAGGTGGTCTGAAAAACAGCTGACCCGATGCTGCTGACATTTTAATGATTATTTTAGTCTTTACAGGGCGACTCACAGCAGCTCACACCATATTATAGTTGTATGTTTTTCTCTCATGATTCATTAATGCTACATCTTTCAGTTTTAACAAAGAAAATCAACTGGAGCAGCTTTAAATGAAAAGCATATCATTTCAACAATCCAAAAATCTTTGACTGATTTGTCTGACTGATTGAAAGAATTTTTCAGATATATTTGGAAAAACATAAAACAGAAAATATAAAATGTGAACTTCTGCACTGGCTACATTTTGTTTTATTTGTTCCCCCAGTAAGTTAAATTCAGCTTAATAAGCAGTACTTGTACATTAAAATTTGCTCATGTTTTCTGTAGAAACATATGTAATTTGACCAGGGGAACCTAAACTTTTGCACATAATTGTACGTTTTTTTTAGAGTCAAATGATAGAATAACTCACATTTGTGTTTATGTGCACTTTGGGTAATGAAAAGTTGGGTTTTTTTACTGTGAAAACAAAAATTGGCCTCATTGGTGTTCAGTATTCTATAGTGGCTACATCATCTATAAGCAACAAAACGTGAGACCAAAGGGGTGCCCAAACTTTTGCATGTGACTATTCATATCCAGACAGCTTGTTGCCCTTTAACGTTACATATACAGGTAGAAGGAGTTTTTGTGATTGAACATTGACCAAATGTTGGTGAACAATCAAATGGCTTGTACATTATTTTAGAGAACTGATAAAGAGGCTGTCAGGTCACAGAGGAGTGAAGGTGTGCAGCAGGTTTACTTCCACTGATTGTGATGGAGGTGCTATGCTCAGAACACTAGGTGGCAGCACAAACAGGGAAACTGTAACATTAGGGAACTAACCTACAGACACAAAGACAACGTTCATCAGACATATTGATGCATTCAGTGAGTCGGCAGCGCAGTGGACAACATACAATAACAGATTTTAACACTGTGTTGAAATACTATATAGCCAATACTGCATGAAGCTCTTTGTGGCAGTTTACTGTACAGTTGTCAGGCTGTTCCAACAGGAGCCTGAAGAGCTGATGCTGAGTGGATTTTTCACCCAAGACTAACTTTAGTAAGTTATTGATTTAGTTAACTTTAAGTAGACAAAGTAAGCAAACCCACCTCAAAACTGACAAAGAAAACTGATAGGACTTCAGCACTGAGTGCAGCAGCATTTAGAGAATTTATTTCATTTTGCTGTTTTTAATGTATGGAAAGGCTGAATCCAGGGCTATTATAAATATCTAGGCGGTTATGTCCTCCTGAAATGACCACGTTGCATTTTGGGATGCAGTATATCATGGAAATAGCTCTGGCTGTGTACCGCAATATTTGGCCAGAGTCCGTCATCTGGGTATCTTTGGTGTACTGGAGAAATTCATGTTCATCACATACTGTATACTACTTACTTCCTTTGGGCTCAGTCAGTATGTGAGCAGCATGTAGTAGGCTATTTATAACACAGCCTAAACTCTGTAGGAAAGTAGATCTCTTTTTCTATACTAAGTACAAAATACACAGGGAATATATAAACACAGCTCAGAATTTAAAGTATAGCTATAAAGGATCGCTTAATGCTGGTCCATCTTCTGTGAAAATGCTGTCAAAGTCTTCATGGGTAGCACACACTAGTGTATTCTCTATTAAAAGACTCTTTGGCAGGTGTCTGGAGAAGCCTCTCTCATCACCTTCAGTTTCCAGACTGCCAGTAAGATGGCATCACAAAATTGGTTTCTGGTTCATGGAGGAGAGGAGAATCGTCGAGAGGAAAGAGCAGTAACTTACGGTTCATTGATGTATCCTAGGTTTTCACAATACAGGTTTTGGAGCAACATATGCTGCCATCCAGACAACGTCTTTTTTTCAGGGATGGCTTTGTTTATTTTAGCGAGATAGTGTCAAACAACATTCTGCATGTATTACAACAGCATGACTCTGTAGTAAAAGAGTTTGGGTGCTAAACTGGCCTGCCTGCAATACAGACCTGTCACCACTGAAAACATTTGGCGCATTATGAAAAATAAATACCACAAAGTGGACCTCGAACTGTTAAATCGCTGAAATCCTATATTAAGCAAGAACGGGGAAACATTTCACTTTTAAAACTACAGCAGTGTCTTCTCAGTTCCCAAACGCTTACAGAGTGTTGTTAAATTAATAGGTGGTGAAACACAGTGGTAAACAGGCCCCCGTCCCAACTTTTTTGGAACGTGTTGTTGGCATTAAATTCAAAATGGGCACATATAAAAACAATACAATATCAACATTATTGTGGTACAGTTTATACCACTTTAGCCCCAGCAATGTGAAACCAACCGAACTAAATGAAAAAAAAGAAATAATATCCCAAAAATCCAACTCTGGTTGGGACTTCCGAAAATGAAGCAGGTATAAAACAACCTGGTGGTCTTCAGAGATGTTAACTAGCAAAGTTTGCTATCTGAAGCTGAACCCAGTGAAGTGCGGGGTCAAAACAAACACTGACACCTTTTATGTATAATAGGCTCCAGCACCCTCACATGACCCAGAAGGATAAGCGGTTTAGAAAATGTGTGTGTGTGTGTAACGTGACAGAAAGGGCCAGACGCTTGCGGTAAAAACCAATAGACGAGGCTTTAATATCAAAGAGTTCAACAAGAATCATGGTCAGTAAACAGGCGTGGGTCCGATCCAAAACAGCAAAAAGACATAAAAAGGCAACCATAACCAGAGGGCAAAGACAAAAAACTAGAAATCCAGAAACAGACCAAACACAAAAAAGGCAAATCACAGAAACACAGGAGAAACACTCAGTAGCTCTACAGGAGAAGCAATACCTCACAATCTGGCTGAGCTAAAGCCTGGGCTTTAAACTAAACAAGTCATATGACATGGAACAGGTGAAAGGACTCAATACTCAGGAGAACTAGAGCGGTGATTGGTTGACTGAGGAAGTTCAGTCACGTGATCTCCCAAGGGGTTCTGGGAGATGGAGTCCTTGTGAGAATCAAGGCCGGAAGGATGCATGACAGTGTGTGTGTGTGTGTGTGTGTGTGTGTTCATGTAGACGTTTTTGTCATTACCATGACATGAAAGGTAATTTTTGTTTGTCAGTCATTGGCCTAGTTGCATTTTGTTGCTCAGCCAGCCAACAAGTCTTGCCCCACCACTTTTGGAGGTGTGGCCCTAACCACCCCACTCACCACACCCCCTGTTTCTGTGTGTGTTTCTGTGTGTGTTTCTGCCAGCCTACATTCTGATAACAGATGAAACTAAAGTCAGTACAGCTCCTTGTTGTGCTTCTTTTTTGATGCTGTTTTACATGAAGCTCCAGTAAGCAAATTAACAAAGATGCACCGATAGATTTATCATGAAGCAGATTCCAGTCTGTTATCTAATTCAACAGAACCTGCCATTTACATATTTCCATTTTCATGATGACTTGCAGAAAGGGTGGTAGGGTTAGCATGAAAGAAAATGCACCTAACAGAAACAGTGCAAGGCGAGGTGTCACTGATTCCCCAACGTTCCCCCATGTTTACCTGTTTCCGCCCCTCTGTCCTGGCCACATGCTGTTCTGCCATGTGCTTCCCGCCCTCCCATTACTATTCCCACCAGGCCCTTTCCTGTTCCACCATGACTGCCCCTGTGCACAAAGTGAGTTGATAAGTTTGGCATGGAAGAACTCCAGTGGCCTTCACAGAGCTCTGACCTCAACCCCACGGAACACCTTTGGGACGAATTGGAACATTGATTGTGAGCCAGGCCTTCTCATCCAACATCAGTGCCTGACCTCACACTCTTTTGACAGAATGGGCACGAATTCACACTCCAAACTCTGGTGGAAAGCCTTCCCAGAGGCTGTTATAGACATAACGGGGGGCCATTTCCATATTAATGCTCAGGTTTTTGGAATGGGACATCCAACAAGCTCATACAGGTGTGATGTTCAAGTGTCCACATACTTTTGGCCATAGCATATGTAGCTTTTTACTATCACTATTAATTCATTGCGTTTAAATAGACAATAACTTATAAATGTCCAAAGTCTGAAAACTGAATTGTTTTTTAAATAGGTTTTTTAAATACACTTTGAACAAATTCGGTACGATGCTCCATATATGACTGGAAGTTTATTTGTCTGGTAAAGTGAGTCAAAAAAAATTGGCAAAACAGATGAGACTCAGTACAGCTCTTTGTTTTTGTTTCTTTTTTGGTGCTGCTTTACATGAAGTTCCAGCGAACAAACACAAATGAAGAAAGATCCACAGTTACATTAAACAGGTCACGCATTTCAGTCTGTTACCTAATCCAACATCCTGAAATGTACATATTGCTGTTTTCATATGCCTGAAATCTGCTGCTGACTTAGGTCCAGTCCCAATTCTTCTTTTTACCCCTACCCCTTGTTTTCGAGTGTCAGCCCTAAACTTGGAACTCAGTTCCAAGGGTTAGTGATTGAAATCTTGCTCTACGAAATGGGACAACCCTCAAAAAAAAAAACAAAAAAAAACACACAACACACAACAACATTGCTTCATTAACAGGCTACTAGCGGTGCTCTGAGGTGAC